ACAACATGCATTTATAAGGTGCCTGTCACGTAGAAAAACACCTTGAAGAATCTTCACAGAGATGGAGTTGGAGCCTGTACAGGTTGGGAGATGGAGCGATTAGGAGTTTTGAAAGTAGCCAGGGATATATGAAGAGTTCACCTCTTCCTTGCTCCACATCTGGCCCCATTTTAGACGTTATCCAAGAATCATAGAAATTTTACAGCACAGAAGAAGACCATTCAACCCATCGAGTCTGCACGTGCACATTGAGTTGGTTCTCAGAACAAGCTGTTCACTCAATCCCACTGCATCGCCGTATTCTCATAACACTTTATTGGCAGGGCATTCCACACCTCAGAAAATCAGAATGGAAAAAAATCCATAAGCTCTCCTTTCACTCTTGTGACTATCTTATATCTGGATCTTCCTAACTTCCCGTCCTTTGGATGAGACATTAAACCGAAGTCCCATTTGCCTGTTCAGGTGGATGTTAAAGATCTTATGGCACTATTCGAAAAGAGAAGGGAGTTTTTCCCGGTGTCCTGGTCAACATTTTCTCCACAGAAAATTAGTCATTCACTTCATAGCTGTTTGTGAGACATTGCTGGTTGCAAATTGGCTGTTCTACAAATACAGTGACTACACTTTACAGTAAATCCTGTGAAACACTTTGAGATATGTCGACGCTGTGATAAGGAGCTATATCAAATGCAAGAATTGTTCCTTATTTTTATTATTAGTGACGTTTGGGGACTCGTGATCCTGCTGTTTGTTTGAGATATGGAAATGTGTGAGTATGTGAAAAATCAAAAGCGGAATATAAAGCTTTGAAACTGGGGAGAGAGCAAATTGGTTCTTTTTTGAATAGTTACTAGGTGTGATACCTAATATCTTACTGAAGATCCAATGTGTTCACTGCCCAGTCACGTGGATTGTTTTCCAGGAAATGTTAGATAACAATGTTGCTAGAATGGCAAGGGGAAAATAAAGTGGGTAGAACTAAACAGGAATCTGTGGAATGCAATGAAATCTGATGACCATGAAATCCACTGCTTAATATGAGCCGGTAAACAACTGATGTAGGCATTGAGGAACCAAAGCCTCTCGCAGCTGCCTGCACCCAAGGCTGGCCACTTGTGAAAGTCATTCAGCTGTAGTTGCTCCATCAAGTTTCCCATGAACTCATTATTTTCCTCAGTGTTTTCCTGCTGGCTCCTCTTGGCTGCCAGCAATTTTTTGGCAAACACTATTTGTTACTGATCTGATCAGATTTCTGGCAATACTGCTCATGTTCCTCACTGCTTTCTGAAACAGGATGTGAGTTAATCAATGTCCATAATCAAGAAATATTCTATCAAGAAAAAAACTGAAAATACATTACCGATTGAATACGGACTTACCTGTACTCGGGCAAATGTTTTGGGGGTTGGGGGGCTTCTTGACAGCTCCACTGGCCACTTCTGGCCCACGGGCAACAGGTAAGCCACCACTGCTCCAGACTATTCAACCAAACCCACATTTTTCTCTATTGCACCTTGTCCTTCTTTCCTCTGTATGCATGACCTGATTCAAGCAGCACTGAACCCATTATGACCTTTATAGTATATTTTCAACCCCACCTGCTTATATTCTTATAGCTTCCAATGCTGCTCCCCAAGCCAATCTTTCTTTATCCATTTTTTCCCCCCAAGTAATTAAGTAGCTTCTGTTGGGAGCTCATTGCTCATATCCACTTATCTGGGGGTAGCGAGGATACTAGGTACATTATCTCCATACAGGGGGGGTCTTGCTTGAGATGTGTTCATTTTAAACCCATGCCTTCTAATTCTGCACTCATGGGCCATGTCAAACAGCTTCCCCTTACCTCTGCATCCTCTATGCTTCTGAGGAATTTCAGGATTGGATCATTGTTGATCCTCGTTTCTGTGGTGAAAATAAGAGCAGAGTTGCTGAATAAGAATCATACAGTATTTGTCAATGTTCCCCAAACCCATTCCACTAGAAGTTGCCTTTTGAAGGCAGACTGCCCAAAATTGCAACAAGTAGTTCCTGCCAGGTAGCTTCTTTTTGACTGATAACAAGTAACCTTGAAACACAGGAGAAAACCTCAGCCACAGTTCCTGTTCCTCGCTGTCCTGCAGTGACTACTGCTGGCAACATAGTGAAATATCTTCCAAGCAATACCCTTTACTGAAAACAGCTCCAGCAGTTTTAAATGGATCGTGTAATGAGAAAGTGATATGATAAATGTGTAATGATATGTTAAATGTGGCCGTTGCCACAAACAATTGTTAAATTAAAGCAGGTGTATGAGTGGAAAGAGCGAATACATGACTGTCAGAAAGCAGCTGTCCCTCTGCTGTGCCTATCCTTCCTGGCACATGTCTCGAATCTCACTCGAAAACAACAGCTCCTTTCAGAACTCCCGTTCATTAGACGTCTGCTGTTAATAAAGCTGCACTTTCCGTTGTTGGTTTACAGGCATAAGCAGGCTTCAAAAGTAATTTTAATTGTTTTAATATTTCATGGAGATTTAACTGAACTAAGTATCTGAAGGAGCAGTGATGGGAACAGTGGAAGTACAACATGTTAATGGCAATTAGGGGTCTTTGTCACTCTACAGTCCTGATTATGAATGATTTAGTTTTTGTACGTTGTTTATCTTCAGTTAAACAACCACCAATCTGAAATGATCAATTTACTAATTCAGGACCTTTCATTAACATAGGTTTTGGGGAATTTGGGTGTAAGGATAGGTTTGTTTGTAATTTTCTACTCTCTTTGGCCTCCTGCAGAATGGTAGAGCAGGCAAGCTTCACTCGGACCTCTGTTTTGTAATTACTGTAGTCACTAAAGAGGTGCGTGAGATTTTCCTGGAAGAATTGCTGTTTTTCTCTTAACTCCTTGTGGGAATGTTTCCAGATCATGGAACTCAGTGACTCCTTTGTTTCTGGGGGCTGGAAAACACAGGGAGAAATGTTGCCCGTGGGGAAGAGCAGTGCAGTGGAGTTGATTAGTGGGAAAGGAGATTTTTTCTTGACTACTTCTATGGTTGTCTTGGGCATCAGCGAGTATCTGTGTTAACTTTAATAAAGGATCTTTTTTTTGGTATAACACACGCAGAAACCATGGGATTAAGTGTATCCAAAGCAAATCAGAATTCCATATATGCATGGAGATTTTCATACTTTTCCCAAGGAGATCGAGTGTGTGGGGAGACCACTCCAGGGGATATTTTGCATAGAATTTGGAAGCAATAAATCTGGTGGCCTAAATAATGATAATATTAATAATCCTTGCATTTGATATAGCACCTTATCACATCTTCAAGACACCTCAATTGTGCACAACAGTGTCCCACAGAGTTATGGATTGAGTGACCAATTTATTGTTTTTTTTAAGGAATTATTAACCCCATACAAATGATCTGTCAATCGACTAACAACTGGGTTCCTACTTACTGCTAGGTAAACAGAGGAGTGCGGAGCAAGGAGACTTGCCCAACATTTCACCTTGCTGGGCATCGAACCCAGCTCTCTCACTTGCGAGTCGAGTGCTCTGACTACTGAGCTACAGGGCTCCATTTTCTTGTTAAATGGGGTGAAAAATGTGACATTTCATAACCGCTTCAATGTAGTTTTGAATCTTCAACAAAACTTTGGGTCTTGGAACTCATAATCTAAGATGACACTCCAATGCAGTGCTGAGGGTATGCTGTATTGTTGGATGAGACATTAAATCGAGACTCCATCTGCCTGTTCAAGTGGATGATAAAGATCCCATGGCACTATTTGAAAAGAGAAGGGAGTTTCTCTCAGTCTCCTGGCTAACAATCCCCCAAATAAAATTGGTAACTCACTTCATGGCTGTTTGTGGCACATTGCTGTGCTCAAATTAGTTTGCTGCATTTGCTGACAAAATACATAGTCACTCCACTTTACATTATATCCTGTGAACCACTGGCGGTGTCTTCCTGACACGAAATGAGCTATACCGAATGTAAGGAGTAATATTATTGCATTTTTGTCCTAATGACATTTTACATTCTCGGCTCACTAACTGAATTTCATCTGGACTCAAAATATCATTCCGTTACTTTGTAACACAGCCCAGATCTACTGCAATGGTCCAAAGTGAAAGCGTGATGGAATGTGAATTTGGGCCAACAGTCTAGGCTCGACTACACCAACTCCCTGCTTGTCGGCCTTCCCAACTCTTCCATCCGCAAGCTGCAGATCATCCAGAACTCTGCAGCTCATGTCCTCTCCCGCACCAAGCTCCATGATCCCATCACCCCCACCCTCGCTTGGCTCCACTGGCTCCCCATCCCCCAGAGGATTGAGTTCAAAATCCTCATCCTCATCTTCAAGGCCCTCCACGGCCTTGTCCCTTCCTACCTCTGTGACCTGCTAACCCCTTAGTAACTTGTCCGCTCCCTCCACTCAGCAGGCTCCGACCTACTCCGCGTCGCCCGCCTCCTTCAAGATATGTCTCAAAACCTCCTCTTCGAGCGTGACTTCAGCCATTCTCCTACCTTCCCTGGCTTCCACCCTCAACCCCCCCCCGTCCAGCACCTTGAGACATCCTCCCGATGTGAAAGGCGCCACAAATGTAATTTTGTATTGTTTTTGTAACAGTCCCGCAGACACCAAGCTCCCAATCTTATCTTTGCCACGGTGGGGGACGGGGGAGAGATTTGAGTTAAGGTGGTGCATGTCCCCCACAGAGAAAGAAGGAAGGAAGGAGAGTGAGCCAAGTGTCAGTCATCCTTCCACTTCCCTTATCAGTTGAATTCAGCGTGACAGAAGCCTTAAAGCGGCTTGGGAATTCCTCCCGACGTGAAAGGCGCTCTATAAATGGAATCTTGTTGTTGTTGTTGTAAAGCACTTTACTGTGCTGGGAGCAAGGTGTGCGGGAGATCAACAGATCAGGGAAGTAAAGAATATAAAATAAAAATGATTACAGAAAAGTTTGATTAGTGCACACCACAAAAAATAACACTCTTCCTTGTCTTTCAGGTTTAGATAAAGCATCATCAATTATATTGGAGAACACGCTCATGGTAAAAGTATGCCACCACCACCACCACCACCACCGCCTCCTCCACCACCACCAATTCCATCTTCGGTGAGTAGGTTGTTTTCGACAGGTTCTCGTAACAAGCTTGAAGCCTTTTAATGTTGGCTTATTACACATCAGGAAATGGTGTCATTGACCTTAACACAAGCTTTTTCTTGCTCTGCCAGTTTGTTCTTCTTCCCAATGCTCTTGAACAAGTTTGACTCCTTCTACCTTTTACTTGCATATGATTCACGGTTGTTCTTTGGTATCAGATGATATATTATCAATGTGTGATCTTTGACAGTGAGTTTCAGCAGGCTATTTAGTTGCAGTCAGGTGAAGAAACATTGTAGCTGAGTTGGATTCCGCCTTCATCCAACATCTGAACGTTCAATAGAAGTCTTCGGATAGTGATCAAAAGTGGGAAGTGTGGCTGATTTTTCCCATCTTTATTGTAAGCATTATGGTCAATTGTAGTACTCCAACTGGTTCCATGGCTGAGAGCAGCCAACTCAGTACAGACTGTAGTTCAAATGTGGCACCTGGGACCCTTGGTCGGGAATGGTACACAGAGAGAAAAAAAAATCCATATGAATAGAAAACAATATTAGAATACATCAAAGTTATACTACATCAAGCAGATGGTCTCATTTAAATACAGTCCAACATGTCAAAAAGTACATTTTGTGTTGTGCTAACTCATGAAATGTAGTCAGTCTGCCCCAGCATTTCAAGGCCAATTTTTACAGCTGCAATCCGTAATGTAATAACTCGCCTTGGCAAGATAGAGTTTTCTTGCCAGTGTGATGCAGGTTCAGAAGGCTATTACCAAGTTTGCTTCAGTGTACTGTCCACACCACATTGCTCCATTATAAATCTGGCTGTGTGCAGATTAGTGTATTGGAATAGTATTAAAATAGTGCTTTAAGAGAGAGAAAATGGTTGATTAACTGGTGGATACCCAAACTGAGCCTTTTATTTTGTTAGACTTAAGTTTCAATAATATGTATTTGTTTGTATTCCTGATTTAAAAAAAGTCTAAATTTAATTTTATTTCTGTACAATTTGGGGGGGCTGAAATGCGTGTTCATTATGTGTTGAGCAGCAGTTCTGTGCCTGGTGTTTCCTTTTATATGCTCAGTGTTAGTATCAAGAAGGCTGTACACCTGAACTTGTCCAGTTAGGACCACCCTACCCGTTAAGGCTTTAGTTTGCAGAGTTTACAGGAGTTCAGGATTCCCTGCTCCCAGTGACTGGTTTGCCCTTCCAGGTCCTGCCGATGAGCCAGGTTGGCTGTGCTGTCATTAGCATGCTCTGGAGCTATGGATTCATCTGGCTCAAAAAACGGACTACCGACACCGCCACAGAGGGCTGGCTTGGTTCCGATATTCTGTTGCCAAATATGTCACCTTGGAGCCAGTTCAGCTTCAAGGAGTCCCCGCTTACCTCCCCCGCAAGGAGGATAGTCAATATCTGACAAGCACAGGTTTGAGCTCTCACTAAGTGGATGGTAGGTACCAGGAACAACTTGCGAGCTTCCCGGTGGGTAACACAGCTCATCATGAAATGTGTGATGACATTGCCACCATCTTCTTATCCACCGCTTGGGCACACATCCCTTCCCATTGAGCGATGGTTCCACCAGTGAGTGATCTGGAGGGATTAAATAAAATGGCCAAAGGGCCTTCTTCGTCCAGAGTAATCTTGTGATGTGGCCAGCCGTATTGTGCAACAAAGTTGTGCCTCGTTTCATATGCCTCTCAATCCATTTACCCAACAGTTGTCTAATTTCCTCTTGTAGTCTGGGCTAGATTCATTCCCAAGTCTCAAATCTAACCTATTGTGCTACCCATTCCCCATAATTTTGTTCAAATGGTGGATTCTGAGCACTCAAAATCTGTAATGTATTGTCTCAACACGTAAAGAGTTACAGAATTAACAATGTTCAGCTGTTGGACTCAGTTGGGTTTAATTTGTGGTGTTTGCAAAATGGTCAATTTACAAAACAATATAATTTACATTTAGATTGTTCCTTTCATATCCGGAGAATGTCTCAAAACATTAAATGGCCCCATGAGCCAAAGTGATTCCTGAAAACAGTCACAAATTAAGAACGTCTGTGGAATATCTGAATTCACATCAATACCAAAGGACCTTTAACAATATCATTGTTTTTGCTATATGTCAGACTGTTCACCTCTGTCACCTCTGTCCAGGAACATCTGCTAGTTAATTCAATGGATTATACCAAAAAATACACAAAAGAAATGTATGTTTGCTGGAGTCCACAAAAGAAGCAGTTGTATGACTGAAACATTTCTTACTTACCCACAAGCACGTTTATTTATCACAAATGTAACAGTCAAAAAAATGTTCTTTGTCTAGCTTAAAGGAGGAACTGCAGAAATAACAATAAACATTTTTTTAAAGTTGCTTTCGGGCTATGTGAACACATTTCAGTCACACGCTGTTCATTTTTGAGATCATCGTTGTGTGTTCACATAACATTCCTAGTTGAACTAAGTGGTTTGTGCCAGCAACATGATTTATTTGCCACAGATGATTAATAATTCATTTGATAGTTTCGGATTTGGAGTGAGCTGGGATCTTGGTACCTGTGGTCCGTCAGTCAATACATATTGATTTCAATCTTCCTGCTGAATCTACTTTGGGTGGGTGCACATGAAGCAAAGAAATACTTTTATATTGAAACAATATTATTAATTAATACAAAAGTTTTTTTAAGTTTAATTTTATCCTGGCCAACAATCCCCTAAATAAAATTGGTCACTCATTCCATGGTTGCTTGTGGGACATTGCTGTGTACAAAACTAGCTGCCGCGTTTCGCCCACAAAATACACAGTCAATCCACTTTACTCAATCCTGTGAAGCATTTTGATGACATGATAAGGTGCTATATCAAATGCAAGGGTTATTATTATTACTATTATTTACAGAAGCAGCAGGATAATAACCAGCTACCTTACACGTATTCCTGTACAATCCCTATCCTTTATTTCCACAATCCCGCATGGTTGTATCATGCAGCTTTAGAAGATTTTTGCACAACTTGTAACAGAAGGATATTGGCCTGAATTACTTGACATAACTCATATTCTTTGCTATCCTTTTCAACCTTGATGACACACTGCAGTAATAGCCTTTGCCCCTCGCATATGTTCCCATAAAGGAAAAAAGAAATATTGCAAATGCTGAAAATGTTTTTCTTAAAGTCATAATTTAACTATTTTTATAATAAGGTGAAGCTAGGTGAAGGACCGAGATCCACGTTGCTAGATGCCATCAAGTTGTGGGTTCATATTACATTCAGTATTGAACAAGAGCCCTTTATGTCAGTGGCAAGATTTATTTGCTACACGTGATGAATAATTCAGCTGTTGAACAAGATTGAAAAGAATAGCAGAGAAGATTAGAAGTGGTTTGGCGATGGCATCAGGTGGGTTTTAAAAGAAAGAGTTAGCATTTTTGTGGCACTTAACACAGAATTTCACCAGTCATCACTGTCAAGTGTAATGATTGTCTTTGGAACAAATACGACAGCTATTTGCTCCAACAGAGTACCACAAACACACACAAGGCTGTGGGTTAGATAGTGGATGACTCTTCCCTTTGGTAGGGGCATCTATTACGAGGGAGCGAAGACTTAAAGTCAGATCTGAGATAGTTAGAACTGAGGTCAGGAGGCTTTTCTTCACAAAGAAGGTTGTGAAGATGTGGAATGCTGTGCCCAAGAAAGCTGTAGAGGTAAAATGATTGGGGAAGTTTAAGTGAGAGATAGACAGAAACCTGAATAGTAGAGCTATTAAGGTGTGTGGAAAAAGGATGTGGCATTGGAAATAAAAGTTTTGTCTGAATTGACTCCTTCTGTTCCTGATTTCCTTTAACCAGGGAGTGATCTCAATGGCAAAATTTGTAGTTTTATATGTTTAGACTCCAGTAGTACCTCATCGCACACTCTGGGGTCCCCAAGACTTGGCTCCTGCCAACCTATGCCTAATACTTCAGGGAATTAGGTAAGCAGCATGCATCCCTCCATGGAGAGAGTGCACATTCCATTCCAGACACAGGGAAATTTCCATGTGTAGGTAGCATACATATGTGGAATGCAGTCTAATTTGGATACAGTAAAGCACAGTGATAAGTTTTCACATGTGTCAGACATCCAGCTGATCAAAGAATAGGGATTTGGAGTATCTATGATAAAGCTAACAACTCCCAATTAGGAAATAGAATTGAATAGATTTTGTATGGCTTTAGAAGAATAGCTTGTTCTCGGGCATGCTCTGTGTTATTGATGATGCCTGAACTGAATTTGCCCCAATGCTGAGACTATTGTGCCATCTAGAGGCAATCTGTAAAAGTTTTAACGGGCGGTAACTGAAAATATATTCATACACAGTGTACAGTATTTTATTTTCAGTAATAACCCAAAGTTTTGCTCTGCCTGGGAATTGAACCCAGGTCTCGTTGCTTGCGAGGTGAGTGCTGTAACCACTGAGCTGCAGGACTCCTCATCCACAGAACGGCACCTCCAACAATGCAGCACACCCCCAGTACTACATTGGAGTGTCAGAGGCGACTCTGGAATTTCAAAGTCCTGTTGTGGATTCAGAGGCAAGAGTGCTACCAACTGAGCCAGGTTAACATGGAAGTTTAACAAGATTGTGTCTTAAATACAACAGGCCAATTTTTGAATCTAAAGTATAAAGTGGGGCCATGAGCAAGTAAAACTATACTTGTCTTCTGAGACCCTGAAAACACTGAATACATCTGCACTTTTCCAAAGGTTGCAAACCGTCTGCCCATCAGTAGCACATTGCTCCAATAAGTCTGTTTGCAATTGTGTCGCTGTGAGTTGGTGATTGCTCATCTGTGGCTTAATGTCCTCGACCAACTTATGCTTTTAGATTTTTGAAAATAATATAAATTTCTAGCTTCTATGGGAACATGTATGTTCCTAGAGAACCTGATGATGCTTTTTCAGGTTTAATTTAATCGATACAGCATTTATCTTCATCAATTGGCAACATTCGTAAATCTTGATTTCTCGCACATTTTTGATCCTTAATTATGGAAAGATATTTTGGGAAGACTGAGACAAGCTGATGGAATGGTTAGATAATCTTTATGCTACATGTTGTTTGCAGGCAGGCGCAGAGCTGCCCAGACAGAGTAAAGGGGAGCCAAAAGATCGGAATGCACTGCTAGCGGATATCCACAAAGGAGCTCGCTTGAAAAAGGTGACCCAGATCAATGACAGAAGTGGCCCAGCCATCGATAGTAAGTGCTGCAGTTTGGAACTACCCTGGGACCGGGGACATGCATGGGCATCTGGACATTTGATATTCATTGATACATACATTGATACCGCAAATGTAGCTGCTTATACTTCGCTTCTCTGCTTGTCCCCTTCGCTCAGCCTGCTGAGCTTTCCCCGACCCCTCTGTGCCACCATCAGGAGCCATGCTTTCAATTACTAGACCCCTAAGCTTTGAATTTACATGATTCAATCCCTTCGCCTCGACCCCTCTTTACATATTTTTAAATCCCACCTAAAGACCTACCTTTTCGACCGCACCTATGGTCACCTCCCCTTAACTCAGTTTCCAATCCCGTTGCCGTGCAGCATTCCGAGACACTATTCTGCATGAAGGCTGCTGTGTAAATGCAAGTTGCTGTTGTTGTTATGGAAAGAAAAGTTACTTGATATACACAAAAATGGGTCTAATTTCAAGATACATAAAGGTGGAGGGGTTTTGCAAACTGGCCTCTACCTGCAATTTTACAGGTTTGCAAATCAAAAGAAAAGCAGAAGGAAATCAAATGTACATTTTGCATGATGGGACTAATGATAACTACAATATAAATAAAACTGGCCAACATAGCATGAGGCAAGTTTACTGCTGATATTATGTAAAACTTCCATTCTTTTTATACAAGGAGGTATTTTGGATATGCAAAAGTTGTCTTTTTCTAAAAAGAGGAATTAGCATCCAATTTTATTTTAATCATAGACTTTAACATTGAATTAGTTCACAAGTTCATTCCTTGCTGGTGTTGAATGAAAAATATACCAGTAATTTTTATTTTTGGTGATTTTAAGTGACTTGTAAGTATGATTCTTTACTAGAACAGAACATATGCAGATGGTTTGCAAGTTCATTCTTCTGAAAAAATGATAAGGATTGTGACAGTAGCGGTTGATGCTCTCAATCGTTTTCCATTGAAAATAACCTCAAACTGTGTGTTGTGTTTTGTCCATAGAAAAAGCTGGAGGTGGCAGTGGAGCAGCACCAGCCCCTATGGGGGGCTTGTTTCAGGGAGGGTTTCCTGCTCTAAGACCCTCGGGACAGCGAGATAGTCCAGGTCGTCCTATATAATTAGTAATTAAGTTTCAAAAAAATGCTTGTGGGACAATGCTATGTGCAATTGGCTGCTGCGTTTTGCCCACAAAACACACTTTACAATATATTCTGTGAAGCACTTTGAGACATCGGTATAAATGTAAATTGTATTATATTTTCAAATGGTTTCTGGGAATATATTTCTATTATACACTATGTCTTATGTGTATTCTAAAAACATATTGATATTATGTGATAGTGTTACTACGTGGAATAATGAGATGTCACAGGCTGTGAACTGTGAAGCTTATGTACTTGTTCAAAATCTGTTAACCACAACCTATGTACTCTTCCTACTCAACATTAACAGACATGTAGCAACAGGTGACGTGAAAAATGGCTCTGCTGGTAGCACTCCTGCTTCTGGGTCACAAGATTGTTGGATTAAGTCCTGCATCTGCTCTTAAGCGCATAGTTGAGGCTGATACTCCAGTATAGTAATGGGGGGAGGGGGGATGTTGCATTATCTAAGGTGACATCCTTCTGATGAAATATTAAACTGAGGTCCTATCCACCTGACATTATTGTCACATGACACTTCAAAAAGAGAAGAGAACTTCTCCCATCCCAGTCTACTGACCAGCCATTCGCCAGATAAATTGATCATTCACCTCATGGCTGTTTGTGGTTCATGATGCTAGATTTGCCTACAACAAAGTAATCACTGCATCTGACATTAATTACTGTAAAGAACATTGAGATGTTTTGATATATAGGATGCTCCAAAAATGCAGATTCATTGACTCAGTTTATAGAATTTATCAAAACTATGGCTGTAAAATGAATTGATTCCACAGTGCACTTGAATATTTATTTACAGTTAAACCCTTCATAAAATAGAATTGATATAATGTTTTTTCTAACCATCGCTATGTGCTTTTTGTTTATTGCAGAGAGAAGTACCAAACCACCTCTTCAGCCTTTTGGTGCGAAAATGCAGCCGCCCAGATTTGCAGCCCACGTTGATGATAACAATGGAACGTCCAACCCACCTGACTTTTGGAAGCCCCCTGATGCGTCCAAAGTGCATCGAGGAGCTCAAGGACGCCTTAATATGACTGCCTCTTCCACTCCTCCCCTTCCTCTCACTCCTCCTGTGTCTCATGGGATATTTCTGCCTATGTGTCCCCCTCCCCCGACAGCTCCCTCTTCCAGTAATAAGCCTCCCAAATCTATATGGACAGTGCATCCTGCTCCCCCGCCTGCTCCTCCTCTCCCCCTGGCTCCTCCTCCTCCTCCATCACAAAGTACAAAACCATACAAACCTCAACATATGCAACCACCGCCTCCCCCTTTTGCTCCCCCTCCTCCTCCCCCTCTACCCACTAACACTTTCCAAGACCAAGCTTTCGATTTCTCGTTCCCTCCACCGCCACCACCACCACCACCACCATTAGGTTTCAGAGACGATTCTATTGACTTCCCTCTTCCCCCTCCAATACCTCCAGCTCCTTACATTCTCCCCTATAGAGTGTCTGAGAGCCCTCCGCCGCCTCTCTTTTTGGATCAAGCAGATGTTCCTCCTCCTCTACCTCCAAAATTACCAAACTCTAACAACTGGCAAGTGGTGCCTCCTCCCCCACCACCACCACCACCGCCACCACCGATGCCCTTACATCTCCCAAATTCATCTTCTGTTCAGATGTCCTACACGACTCAATTACCTACAAGGGACGTCCCACCCAGGGGTGGAGGTGAGTTCTAGTGGACTACAGCAAGACTGGTGTCACTAGTTGCCTGATACCACTGACACCATCTATGATTACGCCTGCAAATTAGTTTTATCCACAAAACACAGAGTCACTACACATTACAATATATCCCCATGGAGTGCTTTGATGATATTTGAAACATTGATTAAACAGTAGATCAAGATTTTATTCTCAGTGGTTTGGAGTAAGTACGATAAGTTAGTGAAAGACATAAGCACAAGCACAGAATTATTTAACCTTCAGATGGTAATGTAATGCCCAATTTATATGCTGTGGTGATGCAGAATATCCATTTCAATGGAGGAGCCCTTATTAAAGAATTCAGAAATCACTGTGGTTTTGACATCCCACCCACCTCTAAGTCCACTGGGAAGCCAGTGCCTTTTTTCATTTGGCTAGAGATGCAGACACTTGCTTTCTCACAGAAATGCTTTGACACTTTCCCACTGGAGTATTAGGCAAGATCCCAGAGGTGTGATTGCAAGGCAGAATGTAAGTAAAACTTTGCCAGACTTCAGAAAGGAACCAGAAGAGGAGAAGATTTCAATGCTATTTGGTTGACCTGCTGAGGAGTCTGAGCAATGAGAGGATCAGATCCAAAGGGTAGGGGGATTTTTATAGTTGGTGAGGTTTTTCATTAAGTCTGTGACAAGCACTATCCAGGTCATTCTGTTTCTCATGCGCGAAAACGGCCTTCTACTCCAACATCATCTTGGAGGCTAAAAATAATTCCAAAATCCTTTTTTCCACCATCCACTACCTCCTCCGTGCTCCCCCTCAGGCCTCCTCAATCTTCACATCCAATGCCAAGTGCGAGGAGGTCATGGACTTCTTTTCATCCAAAATACATAACATCCGCCAGGCAGCCTCATCCTCTTGCCTCTTGTCACCCTCCACCACCCCTTCTCCGTCCCCCTCACCTTCTTCATCATCAGCTCCTACCATGACCCCATCCTACAATCCTTCCTCCCCATCTCTTCTTCTTCCCTCTCACCCACCATCACCTCAATGAAACCTACTACCTGCTGCCTCGACCCCCTCCCCACCAACTTGCTCCCCCAGCTCCCCCTCCTCTGCCAATACTGGCTGATGTCATCAACCAGTCCTTCTCCTCTGGATCAGTCCCTGCCCCCCTCAAAACTACTATCATCACCCCCCTCCTCAAAAAACTTTCCCTAGATTCCTCAAACGCCAGCCATTACTGCCCTATTTCTAATCTGCCCTTCCTCGCAAAAGTCCTAGAACACATTGTTGCCAATCAATTCCGCCCACACCTCTCCTCCCACTCCCTCTTCGAACCCCTCCAGTCCGGTTTCCGCCCACAGTACAGAGACGGCGCATGTGAAAGTCACAAATGACATCCTCTCTATCTGTGACCAGGGCTCCCTCTGCCTCCTTTTCTCCTGGACCTCGCCGCGTTCAACACAGTTGATCATGCCATCCTCCTCCACCGGCTTTCCTCCATCATCCACCTCAGTGGGACTGCACTGGTTTGAGTCCTGCCTCACGAACCGCCAACAGTACATCTGCACCAATGGCTTCTCCTCCTGCTCTCATCTGGTTATCTGTGGGGTACCCCATGGATCCATCCTTGGCCCCCTCCTCTTTCTGATCTACATGCTCCCTCTTGGGGATGTCATCCGAAGACATGGGGTACACTTCCACATGTACGCGGACGACACCCAACTCTATTTTTCCACCTGACTTTGCGACCCCCAGTCCCCTGATGTTCTGTCAGCCTGCCTGTCAAAAATCAGGAGCTGGATGAGCGTGAATTTCCTTCAGCTGAATGTTGATAAGATGGAAGCCATACTCTTTGGCTCTCGTCAACGTCTAAAATCTCCTCCACCTACCCGACCTCCCCCTAACACTCTCCGATCCCGTATGCAACCTAGGCATCAGGTTCGAGCCCCAATTATCCTTCCTCCCCCACATCCGGTCCCTCACCAGCACCGCTTTCTTCCACCTCCAACGCATCGCCCGTCTCCGCCAATACTTCACTCCAAAAGCCGCTGAAACCCTGCTCCACGCCTTTGTCACCCCTCGGCTGGACTATTCAAATGTCCGCCTCGCCGGCCTCCCCTCCACTACCATCCATAAAATCCAGGTCATACAAAACTCTGCCGCCTGCATTCTCACCCGCACAAAACTCCGCTCCCCAATTACCTCAGTCCTTGCCAGACTGCACTTGCTGCCTATCCCAGAGAGGATTGACTTCAAGATCCTCACCCTTATCTTCAAATCCCTCCACTCCTCTGCACCCCCCCTACCTCTCTGACCTCCTCTCTCCTCACAACAGTGCCCGTTGCCTTCGCTCCACCGGGACTGGCCTCCTCCTCATCCTCCGCTCCACCCTCGACAGCCATGCCTTCAGCCACTATGCGCCGAGGCTCTGGAACTCCCTTCCTCACTGCCTTCGCCTCACCCCTTCTCTTCCCACTTTCAGGTCTCGGCTGACCTTTCTTTTCGACCGTGCCTTTGGTCACCCATCTCCCCCTCCCCCTGGCTCAGCCCCGTGATCCATTACTGTGAAGTGCTCTGAGATGCCGTCCGGCGTGGAGGGCGCTATATAAATCCAAGTTGTTGTTGTTGAAAACCTGGTGTTTAAGTATCTGTAGACTGCAGTGTGGCTTGTCAATTCTGCAGTGTTATCAATGTTGCTTTTGCCTGGGTGAGTTACATATTTAACGCTTCTGTTTTCCAGTGCACAACGGTGGTGGAAAGCTGGCTGTTCGTCCTCCTCCACCACTCAGATCGCCCACGACAGAACTTACAAGCAGAACACATCCAGCAGCAGCCGGCACTGGATGGACATCTTTGCAAATTTCTCCCCCTCCTCCGCCTCCTCCTCTGCCGCCACCACCACTCCCTGTTAAAAATCGACAGCCTCAAGTTGTGCTGCCACAAGTCTTTGGTAAATCCTTGCATTTGATATAACGCTGTATCACGGTTTTGAGACATCTCAAAGCGCTTCACAGAATATACTGTAAAGTGAAACAAAAACAGAGAGAGCTCGGAAAACTCAGCAGGTCAGGCAGCATCTATGGAGAAAGTAAAGTGAGTCAACTTTTCGGGTCCATGACCCTTCGTCATGACCCTCCAGTGCAGTGCTACGGATGTACTGCATTCTCGGAAGTGCCATCCTTCAGATGGAATGTTAAGTACGGTGATGGGTTTCACATGTGTCAGATACACGTCCGACCCCACAAAAAAAATCAGATGTTAACTTTGGAACTCCCCACCCTCTCAACCCCTTCGCCTTGCCCTCTCCTCCATCTTAAGGTCGCACCTGAAGACCTTCCTTTTCGACCGCGCCTACGGTCACGTTCCCCCTCCTCCAGGCTTGGCCTTGGGCTCCACCATTGTTAAGCGCTCTGAGACTCAGCCCAGCATGGTGGGCGTTATATGAGGTTGAAATATCCCGTCTGCCTGTGCAGCTGGATGTTGAAGATCCCATGGCACTATTGAACAAGAGAAGGGCGTTTCTCCTAGTATCAACAGTCCCCCAGATAAAATGGGTCTTTCACTTCATGGGCATTATTACTGTGTGCTAATTGGCTGCTGTGCTTGCTTAAAAAATACATTAGACTTCATAGTAAATTTTGTGAAGCACTTTGAGGCATCGTGACGGCAAAAGGGACTATTATTATATTGTCTGCTACAGTTTCTCCATGTAATTTTGAGCTGGTGACTCCTGCCTATGCTCAAACAGCCACAGAAGTATGAAGCCCTGGGGTAAGCCCAGAGGCTAATGGGCAGTGGCTGCTTACTCTTTGATAAGAATGGGATGGGCAACTCCTTGGTTGCTTTGAAGCTGGTGCTAGTTAATGGAGGTGTAACGTATTATTATTGAATCCATGTGAAGAGCTGACCCAGTTGCTGTTTTTTGCCTTTGGTGTTTAACACTAAATGACCACTAGGTGTCAGCATACTATGCCCAAGTGAGCGGATTCTCTCTCAACAATCATTTACTTAACCCTCATAATCGCAATGTAGATAATAACCTTTGCATTTCTAATATATAAATATAACACCTTATCACATTGTCAATGTCTCAAAGCGCTTCACAGGATTTACTGTGAGGCCCAAGACTAGTCTGTGCAGAGGAGAGCAACGAAGATGATCCCAAGCAGTACAGGGATTTACATTTGGTATGAGCAGCAAGTAGACAGGTTAGGGTTCTTCATGATTGGAAAGAGATGTCTCAGTGAGTACCTTATTGAGGTGTACAAGACTTTTAATGGGATTGAGAAAGTAAACCCAGAACAATACTTTTGGATGCACTGATCAGCAGAACAAGAGGGCACAAGTTTAGGGTTGCAAAGGGCAATTTCAGGACAGACACCAAGAATTATCTCTACTCAGTAAAACAGCTTGATGCTGTCATGTGAGTACTGTAAAGTGGGTAATCTGGAAGGATGAGTTCAAATAGGATTAAGGATCTTCTTCATCTGAACTTTACTTGTGATTATGTTCTTTTTTCAGGAAAATATTTTTTGAAAGACTATTTCCCTTATTTAGTGTCTAAAATGTAGCTGTTTGCATTCAGCAGATGACTTTGAGTCGAAGTTTAATTTTCATTCAGTCGAAGAACTTCCTCCTCCAGATGATTACAAGCCATTTCCCAGGACATACCCCAGCAAGGAGGTCATTGGTGAGCAACTACATATTTTGTTGTTCAATTTTAGAATGAAATGTCTTTTTACACTGTATCTTATAGTAAATGTGTCAGGGTCTTATTATTGTATGAAGTGTGGGTTTACATTTGTGACTAGGATAAGGCAATGTCAAGTTGGAAAAAGGTGAAGCTTATTCAGGACTTGATTCTGACAGGCAATTAGTCAGAACAGCAGCGGTTCTGTGTAGAGGCAGAAATACAGAGTTGGGCATCATCCATGTGGAAGTGAGGTACCTAAATGGATCTTTTCAGTTTTGGACACCACAAAGTCTGTGAGCTGCTGACATTTGTAATTGGAGGTGAGGATAGCGGAGATGAGAGAAGGTTGGGAGGAGATGGTCCAGAAATATGGGAAGGAGCTATAAGTGATTCTGCTGCTTGTTCACACTGCATGTGTGTGTGTTGAGTGAGAATTAGAATGGGCTATGTACATAAATACTGATCAGTTGGGTGAGGTATTGGAAGGTGATCAGCACTCATGATGGTGTGAATCTCATTAACAAGAATAAGGGCTTCGTGGAATGGGGTCCAGACGATTGGAGAGAAAATAAAAATTAAACAGTTTGGAAATATTTAGGTAGCCCACTGTCTAATCGTAGAAAATATACTCGTCACCCAATGTCCACACATTTCCACACCAATAGAGTCACCAAATAGAGATTTGGAGCAGAAATCTCGGTAGACTTTTTTTCTCTCCCCTTCCTAACTTGAGGCAAATTGTACTGAGGAATTGCAGGTTTTCAAATGTACATATACAGAGTTTGGAAGTATTTGAAGGCCCCTTAATTAAGTTATTAATATCTGATAGAAAAGGTTTCAGATGCTATAGTAAATTGCATTGTTAACCCAACCTGTAAATTGTGCATATGTTGTTAACCCAACCCCACAAACAGATTTATTGTTGGTCACATCAATGTGTTCCTGAAAACCAAACTAGTAATTTCAGACATTACCTAATTGACTGCCAGAGAGAAATACATTTTATTTGCAAACTTACATGTGTATTGCAAAGAATTTATTTAACTCCAGTTTGCTCTTTGTACTAAATGCAAGATTTGCTTAATCGTAACTTGGGAATTATAAACAAAGGCATGTTTACTTTCCCAACCATTTTTTTTTACCTTTTGCAGGTAACCAGAAAGGTCGTTGGTTTGCATCACCACTGAGATGAAATGTTCATTCTTTGCTTCCAATTGCTGTCCCACATTTGCCGCTGCATTGAAGGTGGAACACGGATCTACTGCATGAAGATTGATTCAAACTCAAACTCACCCACTGGCTTTGTTCCATCAGCAAACGCGTGAATGTAGATTTGTTCACATAGCTAACTGCACTCGCAAAATTGAAATTCATTTTTCAACTGTATTTTTAAATTTGTATTGTAGCAAAATGGGTTGTATCAAGAATTAAGCAAATTCATGTGATTTAAAATGAGTGCTTATGAAAAAGTAAAATTCCATTTAATTTTTTAAAAAAATATATTCAAAGTCCCACAAAGCGCACAGTCACACAGAATATCCTGTGAAGCGCTTTGAGACGTCCTCCTGATGTGAAAGGTGCTATACCAAATGTAAGGATTTTTAAATCGTATCAGAAATGATATGCAAACGTTTTGGAGCTAAAAACAAAAACTGAATGCAATAAAAATGGAAATTCTGGAAATCACAGCATCTTAAATCGTTGCCTGGTTATTTCATCTGCAAGAGAAAAAACAAGGTAAACTTACAGAGAGAACATTAGCACACTGACCGCTGACTTCTATACTGTGAATCTCTAGCCTTTTCTCTTTTTATCACAGAATTGTTCATCTCTTTACAAAAGTTGAACATTTGAAGAGAAGTAATGATGTGCGAAACAGTTTATCAGATACATTATAGCTTTATATCTTCACTGCTGTTAACTGTATGAAAAGTGCTCAATTGTGGTATCCTCCTAACTTTATGCTTCTGCAGGAATTTTAAACTGATGAAACGAAACTCCCCAAATCTCTTGCCCTCCAAATCTCTTGCACATTTTTCCTGTAACTGGCTAATATTAAAATGGTTGGCATTTGTACTACTCTTTAAGCAGGCTGTGCCCCCTTAGGTGGATGGTAAAATTAGCTTGGAGTCTTTCACAGTTGATTATAAATGCTGATCTTTTTATCTTGTTTTCTAATTGCATCTTTTGTTCATCTATTACTGCAATAGTTATGTCAGCAGGTGGCACTATTGTACTCTATACATGACAGCGAATCTGCATTGTGGTTTTGTACATGGAGACCTCCCCCTTGTGAATGAGCAATGCAAATAATGCAAATTCAGTTTCCTTTGTTTATCCTATCCCACAAGTCTGACGTTAAAGCATTGATTGGTGATGGTATCGAGATATTTTTTTGGGGGGAGGGGGCAGTGATGGGGGGGACCTTAAAGTTGTTTTAATTGTAAATAGACCCTATTTATTATTTAAGTGCTTTAAATACAATGATTAGTAGAGTGCACTGTTATCAGTATCTCCGTACTTTTCGTCTGGCAAACCCCCTGTAGAGACATGCCACACAAAATACCATTTGTGGAACCTGAGAAGCTGCCTCTCATTTAGTTTTGTTACATGTAAGTGTGAAACTAAGTCTGCAGGCCATTGCTTTTGTTGTCTTATGCATGTGGGCAGATTTCACATTGGGTTTGCACATCTGCTTGCATGATTTTGCCATCTCAGGTTAAACCATGATGCAAATAATGGCAAAGCCTATGCAGGCCATTTGGAAAGCTTTGCTGATGAACAGGATTGAAACAGAATTGGTCCACAACTGTATTAGTAGTTTAACTAGCATATCATGGTAAGATGTAATGATACGTATCACAGCTCCTATTAAAATATATGTTTAACCAGTATTTAGACTACATTAATGCCATCAGCAGTTTTATAATTGCCTCATTCTCTTCCTTTTGATTCAGATCAAACTCACCCAATGGCTTGTTCCATCAGCAAAGGAGTAGATTTGTTCACGTGACTTTGGAAACTGCACTCTTAAAATTGACTAAGAATGAAGTTCTCAATTCACCACCTCTTCCCTCCACAAGCTTCTGATTATTTGGAAATCTGCAGTGCGCATCCTCGCCCATACCAAGCTCTGGAACCAGTCACCCCATTCTCACCGGGTTCCACTGGTTCTCCATCCCTCAGGGGATTAAGTTTAAAATCCTCGTCCTCACTTTTAAAGTCCTCCCCGGCCTTGCTCCTCCTTACACTCTTTCTACCCCACCCTCTGTAATTCCACCGCAGAATCCCTCTGCCCAGTCCCCTCCCTTACATCCTTCAAGGACCGTCTAAAGACCTTCCTCTTTGACCGTATCTTCAACCACCAACAACCTCTGACCCTCTAACTCCCAGCTCGGGTGCAAATCTTTAACTGTCTAGCACCTTGGTGCATCCTTCCAGCGTGAAAGGCACTATATCAATGTGATTTTGTTGTTTTTATTTGTTGCACTGCAACCCACACACTAATCCTACTATACTGTACTGTCTGCAGGTGTGAAGTTATTGTGAAGTACACTGAGACATTATCCTATGTGAGAGGCACCATATAAATACAGAAATGTTGTCATGCACTGCCATCAGCTGCATCGGTTTGGCACTTCAGTCTAATTAACAAATGGAAGTTAGTGAATGATACTCTTCCATAAAGATCCCCTACCTGAGATGCATTTAAAATAGTATTGCTTTGATTTATAAAAATAAATAAAATTAAAAACTATTGCAACCAAACTGAAAATATTTTGACTTTATTTAAAACAATTTCCTTCCCCCCACAATTTCCCCCTTTAAGCATCTTTTTCATCCCTCCTCTGGTCCCAAAGGTGCTGACATAGGGTTCCAACTCGACTGGACACTCACCTGTAAATTACCCCAAGTGGTCATTCTTCATGTGTAGGTTCAGGCAGCGAGTGCTTGCAGGCTATTGACTGTGGTAAGCAACAAATGAAGTCCAAATCTTTGCAGACCTGACATCCTCCAATTTGCTCTTTCCAGCAGGGGCCATTGGTATGGGAATCCTAGCTGATGCACCATAGGATTTGTGGAGTCCTGTAGCTCAGTGGTTAGAGCACTCGCTTTGCAAGCAAGAGAACTGAGTTCAACTCCAGGCAGGGCGAAACCTTGGGTAAGTTTCCTTACTCCACACGCCTAATAATAATCCCTCCAAAAACCAAAAACAATAATAAATTGGTCATTTTCAATCTACGACTGTTTGTGGGACATTGCTGTGCGCAATTGGCTGCCGCGTTCGTCCACAAATATACAGTCAATTCACTTTACAGTGTGTTCTGTGAAGCGCTTTGGGATGTCCTCCCGACGTGAAAAGCGTTATATCAAAGTGCAAGGATTATTATAGGAGATCTGAAGTCAAATGTAACATCCTCACAATTGCCCCAGATGAAATCAATTTACTCAACACAAACCCAGATTCACAAACCTGTCACTTGGTTTTTAATGCTACACCATGTGGTATGTTTATCAACTAAGGTATAAGGGATGTTCTCTCAGTGTGTAATTTATCATCATTGAAATGCACAAAGTACAGTATTTGATCTGATTCACCTATTAGTCAAATATCTTGGATTAAGGCTATCATCTGCTGTGGAAAATCATCCCATCAGGCAACCTCGTCACATGAAATCGTTCATCATGATTACGAATCGCATCAATAGCAGAAGCTTAGTAAGATTTGGAATATCACACAGGTGTTTTGATCTTTTTAATAGAAACATTCATCTTTTGGTGTTTTGTGTTAATCATGCTTCAGATCTTGGGGTCATTCTTTACAATTATTGGGGCAGAATCAGTATTGAACACTTTATGTCAGGGGTCTTTGGGGGTGTGTCAGCCTGGCTTAGTTGGTAGTCCTTTTGCCTCCAAGTCAGAAGGTTGTCGATTCAAACCCCACATTAGGACTTACAACTCATATAGCCTAGACCAGTGGTGGCCAACCTCTTAGGTCAGCCCACAAAATAATTTTTCATGATTTATGTCATAAAAACTGGAAATAAGGCATCAATTTGAAACAGGTTCACCTAGACAACAACAACAACAAAATTGCATTTATAGAGCACCTTTCACGTCGGGAGGACGTCCCAAAGCACTGAACAGTTAGGTGTTAGGGCCCAAGCATGGGGGAGGGGTGGGGAAAGGCAGAGAGGTGGGAGGGAGACCAAAGGCACAGTCGAAGAGAAGGGTCTTGAGACCAGCCTTGAAGGAGGCAAGGGAGGAAGCGAGGCGAAGGGACCATGGAATGGAGTTCCAGATTGTGGGGGCAGAGAGGATAAAGCCCGGCCACTGATGGTAGGGCGGGTCGGGCGGGAGACATGGAGCAGGCCGGAGCCGACTGAACGGAGGGAGAGGGCAGGTTGGTAGGGAGTCAGCAGGTCAGAGAGGTAGGAGGGGACAAGGCCATGGATTGCCTAAAAGGTGAGGACGAGGATCTTGAACTCGATCCTCTGGGGGATGGGGAGCCAGTGGAGTTGGACGAAGGTGGGAATGATGGGGTCACAGAGCCTGGTGAGTGCGAGTACACGAAACCCGATTGGAGGGGATCATGGAAGGAGTGAGAGGAGAGGAAAGATCGAAGCTGGGAGGCAACTGCTCTCTCAAGGACCTTGGATAGGAAAGGGAGGTTTGAGATGGGCCGGTAGCTAGATAGCTGTGATGGGTCAAGGGAAGGTTTTGTCAAGGTGGGGGTGATAATGGCTGTTTTGAGGGGGGACAGAACAGTGCCAGATGACAGGGAGAGGTTAGTGATGTCGGTGAGTAGTGGGGTAAGGAGGTGGAGCTGGGATTTAAGGAGAGGGGTAGGGATGGGGTTGAGGGAGCAGGTGGTGGGCTCCACGGAGGTTACCGTGTTGAAGTCAGAGCAGGGGATGACAGGTTTAAAGGTGTGGAAGGAGGGATGGGTAATTGTCAGATGGGTAATTGTGAGGAGTGGTGGTAGGGAGGGGGTTGGACTAAACTAGTGCAAAGGTTCGGCAGGACCTAGGTTGACTTCCTAATGCATTGCTGGGGGTGTGCTGTACTGTTAGATTCCTTTGCATGAGATGTTAAATCGAGGCCCTGTACTGTACATAATATAAAAGCTTGCAAAAATGTCATTCATTACATCAAACCTATTTGTTCTACAGACCTCATCCCTTCTACTGTGAACTCTACAAATGCTGTATTTATACCAGAGAGTTGTTATTTTGTATAATGACACTTATTATGCAGTTTGTAGAGAAACAGAGGGACCAGATGAATAGAATCTGCTGTATTCTTTACTAACTATTCTCAGATTTGTGTTAGTAATAATAGTGGCATACTGCCAGAAAGGCCTGAAGGATTTTCAGATCCTTTTTTTTGCCCCCTTTTCTCGTCTCTCTCTCACTTTTCTGATATCTGATTTCCTTTCAAAAAAATAATAATAATTAACCTTGAGCCTTATTTAACATTTTAGGGCCATTCTCTTAAGAGTTTGTGGTCCATGACTTTGTGGGATATGGCTGTGTGCAATTGGCTGTTGTGTTTCGCTCACAAAACAGTCAATTCACTTTACAGTATATTTTTGAATCGTTTTGAGACGTTTCAATGGCTTGATAAGGTGCTATACCAAATGCAAGGATTATTGTTATTAGTAACTCCATCGAATAGAATGCAATTCGATAGCATGCTATCCAGAGTAAAGGTTCTGCAAAGTACCCATCTGCTCATCCACCCTCCCAACATAAATTAAACCATGCACAATTCAGGAATCAAGTGAAACACTTGGACTGACTGCATCTAAATGCCATCAATCACTGACCTATGAGCTATGGCTCAGACTCAAGACTGTTCCCTTACATGCATTAAAAGGGTCATAGTCATCAATGTCCTCTTGTGCTTAAAATAGCAGGAAATAAAGCTTCCATCTTTCTGTTGAATGCAATAATCCTTCACTACATAGTGCAATGACCCTCTCATATTAGTAAGTGAAGCAAATTAAATCTGGTGGCTGCTATCAAAGGATGTTACTCTGTGTTTAGAAGTGCAATAACTCCCTTGGGGCAAAAAAAAACGTATTTAAATACTGATGGCCTTGGATCACAATTTAGTGCAATTGGTTGGATTATTGTATAATAAGAACATAAGAATTAGCTAGGCGAAATAACCAAAGTCCATCGAGTTCACCTTCCACCATCCTGGCAGTTGTTTGACATGTCATGTCCCAAACTACATACTATATCCTGAGATATTATTTTCTAACAGAAATCTATCCAATTTGTTCTTGAAACAAATAACATTCTGCTTCCACCATCTCTTTTAGGAGGCTGTTTCATACGTTTACTTCCCACTCACAGAAGTAGTGTTTCCGCAGATTTGTTTTGAATTTACCCCCCTTCAATTGCAGGTCGTGTCCTCTGGTTCTACTGTTCAATACAAGATAAAACAGCTTATCATGGTCTATATTATCTATTCCCTTCAGAATCTTAAAGACCAAATTCATAATCTAGTGTGTCAAACTAACAGAACACTGTTAAACCACCATTAAGAACATTGAACACGAGATACTTGGTGAGTGCAGTTTTGTTTAACAGAAGACAAACTAATGACACGCTCAAAGGATTCGTATGTTCAACGTGCAATGTGTTTACTTCATAAACAATAAATGCTCTTGGTCACCAATATTTGTGCATTTGTTCAGAATACAAACTCTTAAAGGATGACTCTAAAATGTTCAATAAGGCTCAGGGTCAATTTTAAAATGCATCAACTTAACACTGGACTGACTGCTCTATAGAACTTCTCTAAACAATTATAATAGCACTCAGAACACTAGACGAGGAAAGTAAAAGAAACTTGGTCGGTGCCATTGCTGAAAGAACAAACAAGATCAAAATAAATTCCACATCTGCTCAGCTTAATCTTTCACAACCTTCGCACAACACACTGACCCATGAGACACACACAGATCCAATACCAGAGACTGTGTTTTTGATTAGTTTATTATAGCGTTATTCTCTGCACACCACTGTTCTGCTGGAGGAAAAGCAGACCAAATCCACATCATGTTTGCAAAAAAAACGAGAAAAATTCTGAAGCGGTTCTAGTGTGATCCAGACATTTCCACTGCCATGACAAGCTGAAGGAACTAGGAAATAAAGGTACATCAGACCAGTACAAAAGTGACCAAGAAAATTCAACCATCACTGCAAATGTCTAAACAGTGCACTTCAATTTGCCACACACTGCATCTTTAGATTCAACACCCACTGATACAACTGATATTGATGACAACATGCACAGGACTCACACTGTGATGTATGGTACTAGGATCTAGTGCAGCCTCCTGACTTATACAACAGTCACTATTGACTTATACAACAGTTCAGTTTAGTAAGAAATGACAGTAGCAGACTGTGATAGTTCATTACAATTCAAGGGGGAACCAGTAGTGTCACAGCCTATTGCTGTTCTACCAGTATTCACTATTTAATGTGACTGAATGAAGACATCTACTCACATTCATTACACAGAGATTTTAGTAAACGACTGAATCACGACAAACGTTAAACAACAAAATCACTTTTTACTTTTGAGATTGCTGCAGTCATCATGGTCATCAGGCTTAAGTGGCACCATTTATGTACAGTATTTTTGGAAATGGGAGACAAGTGGGGATTTTATCATGGCTGCTGGAGCAGTTAATGGATCCATGTTTAGGACAATTACGATGGAGGGCAACTAACTAACTTGACACCAACTACAATGAATTTGTTATTACATATCATGCAACATGGAAGGAGAGAACATTTTGCCTTGTATCTTGGGCCAAGAAAGGTGTCTGATTTTTTTTTAAACTCTGAAAATAAGTGGCATTAGTTAGAAGCAGCTAACCATACCAGATTTCCTTGAGGAGAAGAAACACTGGATACAAAACGACTGGAATCTATCAGACGAGAATGTAACCAACGTGTAACAAAATGTAACTCTGTAGACCAATGATGAAGAGGCAGAAAGACAGGTATTGGTTTGCACCATTGTGTTTGTCCACTGAGCTCCTGTTCTTTGCTCCAAGACGGCCAAAGATACCCTTCAAGAAGATCACTGAAAGCAGGAAGCACACTATTCAAGAAATGGCATGAAGAGGGTGATGGAAAACACTCCACTGAGTTGTAAGGCTACAAGTTCATTACAACATCTTAAATAGCAAGATCAAGGCTGTCACAATTATAAGCACAATTGAAACCATAGCCTTTATTTCAGTGCCATTACCTCTTGTTTTCCACCATATAGTACATAGCATTGTCAGTAAATTAGGATTGATCGTTTTCTTTCAGTAGACTGTCAGTGCACTGATGACTAACATTTATAGAGAAATATTGTCTCCTTTGTAATATCATTACTTTAGGTTTATCAGAAATTTGTGATAAGACTATAGGTCCAAACAGTATACATTATTTAAAATCAACCCATAAGCCGCCCCTTAACTATGGAAAGAGTGAGGTTAAGTCTAAATCACATTTGACAGGCAAACTATTCACCACAAACACCACCATGGTTCAGTATCGACTTGGCCCTGCTTCTCCTCATTGTACCATCTGGGTCTTATTCTCTTAATTATTGAAAGAACTTGAAGAATGTAAGTGCTACCGTCACAACAGAAAGCAATTGTAAGATCCTGCCTTAGATCAACCCGCATGCACACATTTAGTAACTGACCGCTGGCCGCCCCCTACAACTAGACACAAAAGTTAGACAATGCATGATTGGACGTATGAAGCATTCACTTCAGCAAGTAGTTGACACATCTGGAACAGGAGACCAATTGAGGATGAGTAAGTCTGATCCTCTTTCGGAACTTCAGTTCAGTCAAGACGATCTTTTGTAGTTATTTGAATGAAGAACTTCTCTCTCGCCCTCTTCCTCCAGAGTGGCTAAAAGTGAACAATGGGCAACCGCCTCTACCTGCAGAACACAAACACGAGTGAAGTGGCTGGAATTGTTTCAAAAAGAGATTCATTTGCTCCTCAAGTAACATTTTTATTTTAATCACCGATTATTACTGTGTTAGCAGGAGACTTGTAGAAAACATTTATAAATTAGACGGCAATTTCAATTTTTTTTTAAATAACGTGTTGAATCTTTGCGTTTACTGGGCCAACAGAACAAGGAAATTAAGTGTTGATTCCTTCAAACACAGATTAGATAGTTTTCTTTTAAGAAATAACGTCATGGGATATGTTACATAGCTAGTTTGGGACATACGTGCATGCGACCGTCAGGAAGGTGGATGGCAAATTTTTTTCGTGTAGGATTTCTTGTGTTCTAAAAGTTAATATTTTTTCCTATTTCAGCCAGCAGCAGCTTCATGTTAGGATCTCACCAGTGGGGTCTAAAATTCAGTGATTTCTAATAGGATCCAAGTGGGGCTTGATTCCAGCAGCCAGTGTAGCATGGCAATTCATAAGAACACCTCTCTGAAAGCAGGTAATGTTGAAGAGAGTTCCCATGAGTTGTTTTAAAATATGTCTCAATTCTCTAATTAGCTCAGGATCGTCAATGGGTATGTCAATAGGTCAGTTAGAAGATTTTGTTCACACAGAAGATTATTAGAACATGGAAAGCTTTGCCATAAGTGGTTAATGAGGTTGGTGCATATCATCTGAATAGGAATAATTTTGAGAGATTGCTGGGAAAAAGCAAGAACCTGGGATCATAATAGCTTATCATCAGCATGGGTTCTATGGTCTGAATGGCCTCCTCATGTGCCACAGTTTCTATCATCTCTACAATTATATAAAATATCAGATTGTAGGTTTGAAATTCTTTCCTTGTTAATATGCCCACACACAAACGTACGGTACAGATTGCCAGATACATGCCTAATGGGCCTCAAGTGTGTGTGAAATATCATTGCCGACATACTCACAATGCAATTCCAAGTACTTCCAGAATTATCCAAACCAGGGAGGACATAATATTAAAAATAGAGAATGGGTGGCATTGAGATCAGAATAAATATCTTGCAAAGAGTTGCGAAAGCGCAGAATGCACTGACCCAGAAGGACTTAAAAGTAGAATCAACTGGGATGTTTCAAAGAGAGATAGGCAAGGAATCTGGGGGACTGGTAGATTTTAGGATATGGAAAGACAAATTTAAAAATCTTTTGTGGTCAAATAAACTGGTAGAACAGTTCAATAGTCTTAATGGCCTCCTTCTCTTTCTATAAAGTGACATGATCACAACAAAAATATGTCTGCAGAGGTTACAGAAGAGAAAAGTGGTCAATCTCAAAATTGCAAGGAAAATGAAGATGAATATGATTCCTGAATCCAACCTACCGCGGCTTGCCAATATCTTTCTCCTGAATAAAAAAATATTTGCATTGACTGAGATCTTGTTTATACACCACACAGCAAACCGCTGCCAAATTGGGGCAATTCGTTGCCAACGATACAGCAAAAATATTAAATCCAATAAAATGCATTATTGGAAATCCCAAACAGTTTAATATTAAAACACACTGCTTAAAACCCAAGCTTGCCTCCTTTAAACACAAGACCCTCATCTTCTGAAATTCCAATATTAAAACCAAACATTTCTTCCCATTGAATATATATATATATAGTTTAGATTGGTTAGACCAGCAGAGAGAGCTGCCTTGTGTCCCACCCTGTCTGGGCTGCATCCAGACTCTATGGTGGAAAAGACAGTTTCCAAGCCCACTGTGCTATCCATCATTCATTCGAGATATTAAAGCATAAAGAAAAAATATTACTAACATGCTTACATCACTTGTAGAATTTGATTTCAGTGTCCACACAATCATAGAAGAGGTCTGCTACTTCCGAAGGATCTACATGCTCTTGGCAATTCAGGATGTCTTGCATGGCTTCTAGACCTTGCTTCTCCAGGTCTAGCATGGTTTTCCATAGTTTTTGCCCAGGCTCCTATACACAAAATACTCATGCATTTAATAATCTTGGCATTTGATATAGCACCTTATGTCATCAAAACACCTCAAAGCACTTCACAGGATAAACTGTAAAGCAGGGATGGACAACTTGCGGCTCGTGTGAGTACTCTACGAATGCGCAATGCAGGCCTCAAATTGGCAATCCCTGTTGTGAAGTGATGTGACTTTGGTAGATGAATATGCAGCCAATTTGTGCACAACACTATCCCTCAAACAGCCAATCTTATCTGAGGGATTAATACGCTAATATGAACAGTTTTCAGCTGTTTGTTCCTTCTTATATGGAGGCTAAACTATACCTTATATCACAATTATATTGGCTATTTTCTAGAAAAAGATGATATTCAAAATTAGACCACTGCAAATAAAAGTTTGGCATATTATGCAGGTAAAAAGCTGGAACAAAATACTTTGTTTCTTTAAATAATGTCCATAGGCACATACTTTCAATATTTAGGACCTATTCTAATCTTCCTCTTTAGATATGTCAGCAGTGATAGCTAAATATTGCATTACAATATATTACAACAGAAATTTCAATTTATGTAGGGCCTTTCATATCAGGAGAATGTCCTAATGTGCTTAAAATTAACCCTTCCTTTCCTCCAGTATAACCCAGCTCAGCAGTATCATGCTGACAGAAACTTGTCTTGGCTAACAAATACAATTTCAGATAGGTATTGAAGGGCTTTAATTGATAGCTGGGCGTAGGAAAAAGGATGTCTGGCCAGTTCCTCACGATAAGAGGATTGCATGTGAATTGTGGAAGGAATAAAATCAATGGCAAAATAACATTTCTTATTCCAAGTGCATGATTTTTATTGACAATTGCTCCTTCTCCCTTTGANTTTTTCTTCACAGAAAGGAAACCTCCGACTGTGATATCTCAGGTGCAGAACATACCGCAACTTCAACTTCATGCGACTTCAACCTCCACTTCACCCCCTCCTGCTCTATCTCCTCAGAACTTCTCCTCTCCTCTCTCAACCTCTGCCTCCACATCCACTCTGCTACCCATGTTCACGGCCACCCGCTCGACCTGGTGATCATTCGGGGCCTCAGCGTCTCAGATGTCACCATCACTGACAAGGTCATCTCTGACCAACATTTCATCTCCCTCAACTCCCATGTCCCTCTCCCCACTGCCTCCAAACCTACCACCATCTTCTATCAACTATGGAAGAACATCTCCCCGCAGTCTCTCTCCGCTGCCCAGGATCCTCTGAACTCCTCCACTTCTGCCCCACCTCTCGCACCAACCCACTCGCTGCACTTACTTTTCTCCACAGCACTCTCTCCACCACACTCAATGCCTTGCCCCTCTCACCTCCCAAACTGCCTCCTATTCCCGATCCTCACCCCGGTTCACCAGCCACCTCCTCTCGCTCAAGGGCTAGGAGTGGGCTGCTGAACCCACTTGGCTCAAATCCGGCCTAACGGTCCACCGCCACATCTGGCTGGACCTCATCAAAACCTACCACTCCTCTCTCGCCTCGGCCAAATTGTCCTTCTATTCCAGGTTAATCCTGAAGGCGAAGGACAACCCCAGGCTCCTGTTCTCCACCACCAACCGGCTCCTCCGCCCTCCCCGCCACGCCTCGCAGATTCTTTCCTCTGACTCTCACTGCGAGAAAATGCTGGACTTCCTCAAGTCCAAAATCGAGGGAATCGCTCAGCTGCCACTGCCCTCCCAACTTTCCCCCTCCCTACCCCTGCCCCACACTCCGACAATTACCTATCCCTCCTTCCACACCTTTGAACCTGTCACCCCCTCCTCTGTCATGACCACCATATCCTCCATGAAGCTCACCACCTGCTCCCTGGAGCCCATCCCCACCTCTCTTCTTAAATCCCAGCTCCACCTCCTTGTCCCATTACTCACAGACATCATCAACCTCTCCCTGTCATCTGGCACTGTTCCTTCCCCCCCTCAAAACAGCCATTATCACCTTGAAGAAACCTTCCCTTGACCCATCACAGCTATCCAGCTACCGACCCATCTCAAACCTCCCTTTCCTATCCTTGAGAGAACGATCGCCTCCCAGCTTTGCTCTTTCCACTCCTCTCACTCCCTTGATGAACCACTCCAATTGGGTTTCCGTGCTGCCCACAGCATGGAAACTGCTCTGGTCAATGTTACAAATGACATTCTGACCATGTGTGACCAGGGCTCCCTCTGCCTCCTCATCTCCTCGACCTTTTCACCTCCTTTGACACGGTGGACCACTCAATCCTCATCTACTGCCTCCCTTCTCACCTCAACCTTCAAGGTTCTGTCCTTGACTGGTTCAGATCCTACCTTTCACACCGCCTCCACTTTGTTGCAGCAAACGGTTTCTCCTCCAGCCCCCGCACCGTCTTGTGCAGTGTTCCTCAGGGCTCTGTCCTCTGTCCCCTCCTCTTCACCCTCTACATGCTCCCCCTTGGTGACATCATCCGCAGAAATGGGGTAAATTTCCACATGTATGCAGATGACACGCAACTCTATCTCTCTGCCTCCGCCCTGAACTCCAGGACTACCGGCGACCTGACCGACTGCCTGTCCGACATCAAATTCTGGACGAGTGACAACTCAACGTCAGCGAGATTGAGGCCCTCCTGATTGGTTTGCGCCAGCGCCTTCATACCTCGGGCGCTGGGAGCATCAGCCTCCACGGTTGCACACTCAACCTCACTAAGTTAGTCAGGAACCTGGATGCCTTGTTTGGTCCTGAACTGTCCTTTCTCCCCCACATCCACGCCATGACCAGCATTGCCTACCACCACCTCCACAACATTGCCAGACTCCGCCACTGCCTCACCCCTCAGGCTGCCAAAACACTCACCCACGCATTCGTCACATCAAGGCTCGATTACGGGAACTCCCTCCTCATCGGCCTTCCCAACTCTTCCCTTCACAAGCTGCAGATCATCCAAAGCTCTGCAGCTCGTGTACTCTCACTCACCAGGCTCCGTGACCCCATCACTCCAACCCTCGCCCGACTCCACTGGCTCCCCATCCCCAGAGGATCGGGTTCAAGATCCTCATCCTCACTTTCAAGGCCATCCATAGCCTTGCCCCTCCTACCTCTCTGACCTGCTGACTCCCTACCAACCTGGTCGCACCCTCCGTTCAGCAGGCCTGCTCCATGTCTCCCGCCCGACCTGTCTTACCATCGGTGGCTGGGCTTTCAACCTGTCTGCCCCACACTCTGGAACTCCATCCCATGGTCCCTTCGCCTCGCTTCCTCCCTTGCCTCCTTCAAGGCCGGTCTCAAGACCCTTCTCTTCGATCTTTGATCGCTTTCCCACCTCTCTGCCTTCCCTCACGCCTACACTATCCCTCCGCCATGCTCGGGCCCCGACACCTGATTATTCAGCGCTTTGGGACATCCTCCCGACATGAAAGGTACTCTATAAATGTAATTTTGTTGCTGTTTGTTGTTGTTGTATTGGGCAAGGAATAATAATTCTTGAATTTGATATAGCAGCTTATCACATTGTTGAGACGTCTCAAATCGCTTCACAAAATATACTGAAAAGTAGTTTGACTGTGTATTTTGTAGGAATTCCCTAGCTTGTTGCTCTGTTACAGTGAGCTGCAGCACTGCATAAACATAAACTTCATTTTAAACCAATGCAACTATATAATAATTCTAAGAAATAACTGAAAAAATACAAACAATCGAGCATTTCTTTAATCACAGCATGCTTGGATTAAACCACAATCTACTCAAATTTTGGATCAGAAAGCATCCCAGGGTCAGAGAAAGAGCAGAAAAAACAGAAAATCAGTGGCATCCAGAAATAGCTCTAAATATGTGAAAGACCATAATTATTATTAAGTGTATTGCAACTGGTTTAGGTCTGCATCGAGACTTCGTTGAACATATAGGGAGAGCTGAACGGTTTCCATTTTTATCTCTTGCTTTAATCAAACCTGTCAGTACTCTCAGCTCAGTAATTAGAGAGTCTACGATGAAGAAGAATTTATTATGAGAGCTGAGAGGAGAGGTTCTTTTCACAATCTATTTGTTTTTTTTAAAAACATTTAAAATAATTTTTTTCCTTGGTGAATGCTCAGACTGTCTATAGTCTGGTTCTTAATAGTGCATGAGCAGCATCTCAATTAGGATCAGTTTTTATTGCTACAGTAATTTCAGCGAGGGATGTAGAGCACAACTACTACAGTAGGTGTGTATGTGTGGCTATCAGACACATTTGAACAACTAAGTGCTCACATTCACAATCAAAGAGACCTCCAAACAAGACAAAGGCAAGTCTGAATCCCAGAGTTATGAAACAACTCAGAAAATATTGCCTTGAAATTTATGATCATTCAGAGTTTTGTAGAATTCTTATATCTTAAAGTCAATCTGAATTTAGAAACAGGTTCTTAAAAACAGCAAAAATAATTTTCTGCAACAATCTTTTCCAGTCCTGTACCTATTCTTTTTGTTTACAAACATGTCAATGGTAATGTCGCAAATCTGCTGGAGAGTGAGCAATACTGTACCGAGCGAGCAGCTTTTTGACAAACTGCCAGACATTCAAGTAAGCCAGTAGCTGCTAATAGCTTCTCGTGTTTTATAGTGTGCTGAAAATGTTTCTATATTTAGTGCTGGCCACGTGATGGAGACGCTCTTTTTTTTATATATATATATTCTCTCAGCACAAATGCCACATTACAGAACTGTAACCCATTGGAATGCTTTCTCCCTAAGAAAACGAAGACAGTGATTAGGCACCCTCACAGTGATCACTCTGCCCCGACACCCTCACAGTGATAACAACAACAAAAACAACTTGGATTTATATAGCGCCCTCCACATCGGACGGTGTCTCAGGGTGCTTTACAGTAACGGATCCCGGGGCCGAACCAGGGGCCGAAGGAGGAAGGTGACCAAAGGCGCGGTCGAAAAGAAAAGTCTTCAGCCGAGACCTGAAAATAGGAAGGGAGGGAGCGAGGCGAAGGAAAGGGAGTTCCAGAGCCTCGGGACACAGTGGCTGAAGGCACGACCGCTGAGGGTGGAGCGGAGGGCTCGGGGGACGAGGAGGAGGCCAGACCCGGAGGAACGAAGGCAACGGGCACTGTTGTGAGGAGAGAGGAGGTCAGAGAGGTAAAGGGGGTGCAGAGGAGTGGAGGGATTTGAAGACAAGGGTGAGGATCTTGAAGTCGATCCTCTCTGGGACAGGCAGCCAGTGTAGTCTGGCAAGGACTGGGGTAATTGGGGAACGGAGTTTGGTGCAGATAAGAATGCAGGCGGCAGAGTTTTCTATGACCTGGATTTTATGGATGGTAGTGGAGGGGAGACTGGCGAAGAGGGTATTTGAATAGTGCAGCCGAGGGGTTACAAAGGCATGGACACCGGGGTTTCAGCGGCTTTTAGAGTGAGATATTGGCGGAGACGGGCGATGCATCGGAGGTGGAAGAAAGCGGTGCTGGTGAGGGACCGGATGTGGGGGAGTAAGGATAATTGGGGGTCGAACCTGACGTCTAGGTTGCATACGGGTTCGGAGAGTTTTAGGGGGAGGTCAGGTAGGTGGAGGAGGTGGGAACCGTGAGATTTTAGATATTGATGAGAGCCAAAGTCTTGTCAAGGCTTCCGTCTTGTCAACGTTCAACTGAAGGAGATTTGCACTCACCCAGCTCCTGAGATCTGACAGGCAGGCTAACAGAACATCAGGGGACTGGGGGTCGCAAAGTGAAGTGGAAAAATAGAGTTGGGTGTCGCCCGCATACATAATAATAATAATCCTTGCATTTGATATAGCGCTTTTCACGTCGGGAGGACGTCCCAAAGCGCTTCACAGAACACACTGTAAAATGAATTGACTGTATATTTGTGGGCGAACGCGGCAGCCAATTGCGCACAGCAATGTCCCACAAACAGTGAAAATGACCAATTTATTATTGTTTTGTTTTGGAGGGATTATTATTAGGCGTGTGGAGTAAGAAAACTTGCCCAAGGTTTCGCCCTGCCGGGAATTGAACTCAGGTCTCTCACTTGCAAAGCGAGTGCTCTAACCACTGAGCTACAGGACTCCATACATGTGGAAGTGTACTCCATGTCTGTGGATGACATCCCCAAGAGGGAGCATATAGATCAGAAAGAGGAGGGGGCCAAGGATGGATCCTTGGGATACCCCACAGGTAACCGGGAGACAGTGGGAGGAGAAGCGTTAGTGCAGATGTACTGCTGGCGGTTCGTGAAGTACAACTCGAACCAGTGCGGTTCCACTGAGGTGGATGATGGAGGAAAGGCAGCGGAGAGGTCCAGGAGGACAAGGAGGCAGAGGAAGCCCTGGTCACAGATAGAGAGGATGTCATTTGTGACTTTCACAAGTGCAGTCTCTGTACTGTGGGCAGGGCGGAAACCGGACTGGAGGGGTTCGAAGAGGGAGTGGGAGGAGACGTGTGCGTGGAGTTGATTTGCAACAATGCGTTCTAGGACTTTTGAGAGGAAGGGCAGGTTAGAAATAGGGCAGTAGTGGCTGGGGTTTGAGGGATCTTGGGTAAGTTTTTTGAGGAGGGTGTCTGCCCTGACACCCTCACACAGTGATCCCTCTGCCCTGACACCCTCACACAGTGATCCCTCTGCCCTGACACCCTCACACAGTGATCCCTCTGCCCTGACACCCTCACACAGTGATCCCTCTGCCCTGACACCCTCACACAGTGATCCCTCTGTCCTGACACCCTCACACCGTGATCACTCTGCCCTGACATCCTCACACAGTGATCCTACCTTGGCATTCTCCACATGGCTCAGCAAGAAACTTTGTTGTGCCCTTGTAATAATTTAACTGTAACTCAAAAATGATTAAAATTATTACAATTAAATCCAAAGAAATGTCAGATGAAGAACCTGCAAATCCTAAAGTAACATCTGCACCTACCTCGTCAGCCTCCATGACTGACCTGGCACCGTTGTGTGCCTTGTAGAGGTCATGCCTACGGTCAGGTCTGCTCTGGAACCGAGGCTCCTGTTTTGCTGGGTCCTCATCACCAAAGCTCGGAGACTGTGCTTTAGGAACCAGCTTGACATTATCTACAAAGATGAAAGGCTTGAAGATAGACCTGAAGCAAACAAATCAGACTTTTATTGATAGCTGTGCAAAGGTCCTATTCACCCACTTCACAGATATCAGAGCAATCCCACATACAGAGTGCTAATGAAAGCCATCTGCTTCATTTAACACTTCTTGCTCCTCTCAGATACATCCACCACCTTCCTCCCCTTCCCAAACTACCTCATCATATTGCAAAATCAGTCTATATACATTTAGCCAACGAAACACTAAAGTACTGGGCAACAGAGAACAAATCTCGTCTGTAAAAGTGGTCCCCAATACCCATTGCAGCTTATTCAGATTACTTTCAAATTATAATACCATTTTAGTTAAATGCTGTGCAATCTCAGTGAAAGATATGGGACTGGGGGAAAGAGAGAGAGGAGAGCAAGAGAGAGAGAGAGAGAGAAATAACAGAATCAAAATCTGTGCAAAAGCCATCGATTTGTTTACCAGTTGTAAAGGAATCATGATGGAGAGCTTCAACTCAACCCGCAGTTGATAGAACATGTTAGAACTGCTGAGGAAATCTTCACTCAATGTAGCTGCTTAAACACAGCAAACTGGCAGATAGCGCATGGAATCTCTTCAACAACAAAATGCATTTATATAGTGCCTTTCACTTCTGGTGGCTGTATCTATGGAAGTGATGAACCTATAGATCTCAAAATACTGCAACACTGGCCCATGCCACCAGAGTGCGTTATTACTCACTAAGCTCACTGAAGGTCTTCACAGTCAAACAGCAGCATTAAAATACTAAGCAAAACGGTAGATTTGTACTTAATTGGTGATGTGAAGCATGGTAGAGTTCGACCATCTAGGTCACAAAACAGAAAGCCAAAAGAATCCTTGCTGGTGATTTTCTGGAATCCTGTGTTCTTGGTACCTATCAGGGAAGGCAGTAAGCATAGTCTGGACTCTTTTCTTATTGTAATATAATCCATAATCCTTGGTTTGATATAACATCTTATCATACCATCAAGATGTGTCTTGAAGAGCTTCACAGGATTTAACAGTGAGGTGTAGTAAGTTTGTAGTCACAGGCTGTAGCCAATTTGCACACATCAATGTCCTCCTGCATTGTTGGAGATGGCATCTTTCAGGTAAGACGTTAAACCAAAATCATACTTGCTTGTTTGTGAACTGTAAAGATCCCATGGTACTATTCTAAAAAGAAGGGAATTTCTCCCAGTGCTACTCATCCATGTCATTCACTTTATGGCTATTTGTGGAACATTGTTGTAAGCAACTTGGCTGCCGTGTTTGCCCACAAAATATATCCAGTTTACAGTAAATCCTGTGAAGCACTTTGAGACGTCTCAATGCTGTTAGAAGGCACTGTATCAAATGCAAGGATTATTATTATAAACAGACATGAAATGAGTGACCAATTTTATCTGTGGGAAGAAACTCCCTTCTCTTTTCAAATATGCATTTGGATCTTTAATGTCCACCTGAATAAGCCGACGGGACCTGGGTTTTATTGTCTTCTCTGAAGAATGCACTTCGAACAATGCAGCGCAACCCCAGCATGGCTTGGGAATGTTAGCTAAGCCTATAGATAGAGATAGTGAAAGCTTGGGAAACCCAGAAGAGAGTAAAGGGATAAATTACAAAATACAAATGCCCAGGAATATAAATTCACTGCCATCGGGTGATTGGAGTCTTCATTTAAACCGTGCTTCTACTCAATGTATCAACAAAAAAGCACAAATGCTCTTGGCAATGAAGTAGCTCTGCTAGGTCTATATAACTTTGCCTAAGGTTAACCAGTAACATATGACCAACCTAGTTGGGTCAGGAGTGGCGGTGAAGAAGTGGACACAAGTTGAATCACTGCTTTGAGGCAGGACAGACACCATGCTCGCCGTGACGAGGAAAGGAGGCAGATCCGCGCAGTCGTTGTTCTCTTTGTGGCGCAGGACATCGATCAGCGTTTGCACAGTGATGTTTCCTAGTGTTCACCGAGCAATCAGAAGCCGACAGTGAGCTCAAATATTTGTTACTTCATAAAATGTCAATCTAGCATTAATTACCAGAAACAAACACAACCTTTTCTGAAAGTTCGACAGAATCCAAGGTGAAATCAAAGATTATACTAAAAGTATTTATTTGTGAAACCTCTTTTGGCGTTATATCACAATTAAAAAAAAATCATCTATAGTACAATACTTTCTTTACACAAGAATTGTTAATACACAACTGCATGACATAACTGCTCTGTTCCTCATCACAGTCATTTTAGATAGGTTGCCCACAGACAATGTTACTATTTTGGGTGGGGATGCCACATTTGACATAATACCAGAAAAGGGGAACTAGTTTGTAGTCTGTAATCCTGTTAAGACTTTCTGTTGCCCTGCGGGAACTCCACTCCGGAAGTAGTTTGATCTGGAGCAGAGTCAAACCAGGTATGAAACACTTCCGGTCACCAGAAGGTAATTGCATGACACAGGTACCTGGTTTGAAGAAAACCCCAAACTAGACCCCAAACAAAAATATATTATTGGTTCAGTTTTGTGAATAAAAGAAGTGGTTTTAACATTTGTCTTTTGTTTTCTTTGTTGAAGAAATATTAAGCACTGAGCAGCACATCAGGAAAAAACTATCTGGGTTTGGCTGACAGATCCTCCTATCTCCCCTCTGAAAGCAGAAAGCTGTGTTGGCTTCAAATTAAACTTGGCACGGGAGTGAAATGAGAACCTTCATGATGTCCTCCTCTTACACGTTATTGATTAACACTACAAATGTCATCAAAAGGACACCAGACATTGCTTGTCAATTTTCTGGTATTAACAGCAATGTGCCATAATAAAGTAGTAGTTTCAATGCATACAAGATGCCTTATTCCCTTTGAGAGGACTTGGTAAACACTTCTTTAAAAATAAATACTCTCTCCACATTAAAGTCTGAAGAGAACTACCAGAATAGAACTTCATCTTAGATCAGGGGAATACAGTGCTTTCTTGTCACAAGGGGCTTTGATATAGCCATTTGTGATCTAATTTGTTAGAACAGGATTTCTTAAAAGGAATCAGACTTGTACATTTACCTGAAAGTTAACTTTTCATGACTATTATCTACAGTGCACAGGTTCCTGCAGCATTACATGCTCGCTATCCACATAGTCTTCCTCTGTACTGTAAAGTCCTATGGTTCATTACTAGCTTGACTGATTAAAAATCACATTGGAATAATCCCAATATTCCCAACATTATTTACTCCCCTTCCAAGGCTTTACACCCACCTGTTTGCTCCTCTAGATGAGCTTTGGTAGCACAACAGTGATCCATGTACTCCCCTGCTTCTGGTGGTGAGAACACTGCACTGAAGCTGAATTCATCCTCTCCATTCCACCAGCCTTGACTCTGGGCATACTCTCTGAGCCCAGGATGCTCCGCGTCAATTTTAGTGGTTATAGACAGTTGGGTGCAGATGCTCTTCAAGCCCTCTGTGAATAAAATACAACAAAGCTCTCTTTATTGTCTGTGATACAATACAATATTACCTTTGCATAGCACCTTTCACGTTGGAAGGACGGCCCAAGGCACTGTAGAATCACTATTTTTAGTGCCCGCTTTCCCCTCCCCCTAGCATGGCAAGTCTGACTTCCACTTCATATCCCTTTATTTTCACACAGTCTGCTTGATCGTGCTTCCCCTATGCATTGTATTAAAGCTGAAATTAAAATAATTAAAATAAGAATATATGTTGGGTACTTCTGGAGATTAACTAGCTTGCTACTGAGAGCAACTGTTTGGCAAGTTTCCTGTTGCTTGTCCAGCTAGGATCACCCTAGCCATTAAGGCTTTGACTTCCAGGTTTAACAGGAGCTGAGTGGGAAGAATCTCTTTATCAGTGATTCTTCAAACACTGGCACTTGTGGAATCATTCTGGCCATTCATCTATTAGCAATGAACCAAGCTGGCTGGTCTGTCATCAACAGTTACTGCAGACCCATCTAGCTCAGGAACTGGACTACTGAGATGGCCACAAATGGTACTCGGTTCTGACATTCTATTGCCAAGCACAAAATCTTAGCGCCATCTCTACGCAAAGGAAATCCTGCTTACCCCTCTCCAGGGTGTTAGTGAAATGTTGAATGATCATATGATGCATGTTTCATCCACAAATTTCTACCAAATACTCACTGATTATTTAAATACAGATTTACAGACTGAAAGTTGCTGCTAATTGTAGTTTTTTTTGCAATTACATTGTGAAATTTTACATAAAAATACAATTACCATCCTGAATACCAGCAAAACCAAGACTTTTTAGACATTTTCTTGGCTGAGAAATTACCTGAAATGAAATTGCCACGTGGGTTAGTGATTCTAACAACTCAGTAGTAAGTAGCTCAGGGACATGTATTTTGCAAACAAAGCATTTTAGATCCCCAGTTCTAACTGAAAATTGAGGTTGTGTATATTCAACTGGATTATTTCTCCTTTGCAGTACAGTATTGCAGATCAACATTTTAGAAACACCAACCTGTGATTTTCTCAGCAGCCCAATATTTCCCAGTTGTTTCCAATAGCCAGGCTTCTGTTCTATCCACAATCAGAAATTTACTGTGAAATGTGTGGAGTGAATTGCCATCCTCAAAGTAATTGCCACCTTGTCCATGCTCTTGTAAAAGAGACACTATGGCATCTAACGACTCTTTTGATGTAGCACCTCTTTCTAAGCCAAGCCTGAAAGCAACATTAAAGAACAGAAGAAGAGCAGTATTAACATTTAGAAAATGCCAAATCTATTCTATCCTTTGCAGAAAAGGCTTCTTCTGTGGAAACCAAAGATCTGCAATGAGCGTTTTCGATTGTAATCCTTTGAAATGATGATGCATCTCTGGCTGCTCAATGGCCACAGTACCACCAGAACAGAAGAATCAAATAGAAGGGTAGGTTTTGAACCAGATTAACAACTTGTCCTCCCAGTAACTGGGTAAGAAAATGGTTTGGAAGAAGGGAAGCTTTCCACCTAAAAAAAATTAAATTACCAATGAAATGAATGTATATTTATGGGATCTTTAATGTCCACCAGAACCTGAAGATGTCTTGTCCAAAGGATGACACCTCCAACAAAGCAGCACAACACAGCACAGTGCTTTGGAGTGTCAGCTCAGACTATGAGAGTAAAACAATCACAGCAGTTTCAGCAGACTGGAGGAATGGTGCAGTGTACACAAACAATTCTATGAAAAAGATAACATTGGAAGAAACCAGTCAAAACAAATGAATCATTCAGGGCAAAAGGCAAATATGACAAAACAGAAGTAAATGATTCCTCCAATGCTTACAATGCAGAATTCAGGACCTCAGGTCAATGGAACCCCTAAGGATTGATTGACATATCTGCCCTCAATGCTCTGGGAGGCAACATTTATTGCTTAATTCCGCTATTTAATCGTTAAACACAATTAGCTGTGATTCCACCAGATAATAATAATAATAATAGAGAAAGAAGGGCTCAAATCCTCACAGAAACACACCTTCACTTCTAGCTAAATGAGTGAGAATGAACATGTGAGAAAACAAGAGACAATATCAGGCTTTTTATTTTTTTTAAATAAAATAATTTCATCAATTTTCTTACAGGGCAACTGGGATTTTAACTTGGCTAAATTACAACAGAAGTAACTATTGCGAAGTCAACATTACCCTGGTTTAAATATGTGCACTTTGCCTGCTCTGTACTCTAAGACGTAGTCAAGAAATAGAGTCCATTGCTTTCAGCACAGAAACAAAAGCAATAAGTTGCATCATTAGAAATGGAATGAAATCTGTAAACAGCATAAGGATGAAGTGTCCATTGTCTGTTCTCTTCTAATGGATCCCTCTTTACAAGCATAACAAGAACCAGATGTACTGTTTACATGATTTACTCTGAGCCTTGATTTTATAATTTAGCTTCCATGAAGAAAGCATTAGTTCAGGGCGGGTTTGAACCCTCCAGGGTTTCTATGGTAAACTAAATAAGGTTGTGCCCAAAGCTTCAGAAAACCACCAGATGGGATGGCTGGTCTTATGCAAAGTATCACATCAATATTGGATCAACTATTGAATCTTATTAACCCCATATCAACCTGTCCGTTCCCCCAGCTCAGCAGGCTCCGGCCTGATCTAAGTCCCTCACTCAGCCTGCCCCACCATTGGCGGTCAGGCTTTCAGCATTTCTGCCCCCATTCTTAGGAACTCCATCGCACATTCCCTTCCCCTCACTCCCTCCCTTGCCTCCTTCAAGGCATGTCTCAAGACACTCCTCTTCGACCACGCCTTTGGCCACCCTCCCTGATCCCAACCCCAGCCTGGGTCCAAATCCTTGAATGTCCAGTGCCCTGGGATGTCCTCCCGATGTAAAAGACACTTTATAAATGTAATTTTTTGTATTGTTAACAATGGGGTTCTCACAATTCTCACAATAGTAATTCACAATTCTCACAATAGTAACAGTTTGCAAAGAAGCATATATATTAAGTGTAGATTCGTGCAAATTGTAAGAGTGAGGCATGGCATCAATGCACCTTTCAAACATGAAGCCATTCAAGTTGTTACCAGTTCAAGTTTATTTCAAAGTAACATTGCCACAAATTGACTTTTAATCTTCCTGAACATTTTGTTGCAATCCAATCTTGTGCTGCTATATGTAATAGTGGAAACAAGTTAAGGAGTGTGAATACAATACTGGAAGCTACAACAACATTGTTTGTTTTCTTCCCCTCAGTGTTGCACCTTGTAACATTTCAGAGAAATAACACAATCAATAATAATAATCCTTGCATTTAATATAGCAACTTATCACAGCTTTGAGACATCTCAAAGCACATCACAGAATATACTGTAAAGTGAATTGACTGTATATTTTGTGGGTGAGACGTGGGCGATGCAGCATCAACATTATATTCTAGAAAAATTGTACCATAAGGATTAGCTCCAGAAATATTAACCAGAACTGAACGATTAACATGATCCAGTGGCAAATGGTGCGAATCCGATTAACTGCAGCTCCTGTGAGTAAGATCTGGAGCTCAGTTTCACCAGAATTTGTGAAAGATATGCGAGAAATCATTGCATTTTGGCAGGCACCAGTGTATGCTGTACAACTGCATTAGAGAAACAAGACTCAAAGAGATTGCTACTTAGTTTTGTCATGTGAAGTTGATTCCCTACACAAGCAATTTCCAAGCACAAAGTACAGCTGGAGGTTGAAATTCCTGCCTGTGAGTTTGTGATCTAGAAGATAGCAGTAAACCCCAGAACTTCGGATGTGGCAAAGTAATGTGAATGAAGTCCATTCTATTTCTGGCACAACCTCAATCACCGATGAAGCATCAAGCTGACTTGCTCATTGCAAGACGCGGAGTCAACAGTGGGTAGCCACTGTATAATGCAACTCACAGCACCAGAAGAATACAGAAGCTGTCTTGGAAGATGAAGACAGTGCCTCCTGACTTTCCTTCCCTCATCTTCTGGGAAGCATCAAGCACTCATCACAATAGCACAGTTGAGAGTGAGTATTCAGCATGTCAGGAAATATTCTGTGGTATAATGTGTTAAACCTCCAATTCACTGGATCAAAATGTCTCCTACTCATGCCATATTTTAATAAAACCATTCATGGCTATTTTAGTTCCCTGCTTCTGATATTTAATATTCCTGTGTTAATAATAATAATTCTTGCATTTTATATAGCGCCTTATTGTGTCTTCAAGACATCTCAAAACACTTCATAGAATATACTGTAAAGTGAATTGAATGCATATTATGTGGGCGAAATGCGGCAGCCAATTGCGCAGAGTAGTGTCCCACAAACAATCGTGGATTGAGTGTCCAATTTATTATTTATTTATTATGTATCAAATGCAAGGATTAGTATGTGTTAAAATGTCAAGAAGGTACCATCCAAGTCTTCAAATAAGGATCGCAGAAATGACAGCATGGGACCAACAATGTGGTGCTAACACAAATGATGACCATTGTACTTTTAGTTGTTCATAAAATTGCAGCAATTAGACTACAGTCTCTTTTCACTTAAATTATTTTTAAGACTAATTCAGAATTGAAACTGAACATTGTCTCCAACATTAATTTTGGTGGGGAAAGGTCTATTGCATTACTGTACTATTTTTCAGGTGATAGTGATTATTTATTCCACGATACCTTCTGTGGAAAAGTATTTTTGACATTGTAACACCACATTAATTTATAATAGTGATGGCTATTCAGTTTGTTAAGTAAGATTATTCAGGCATCATAACACAGGATCGGATGAAGAAGCCTATTCAACCTATTTGATCTCATCCTTCCAGAAAACCTACCCTACCCTCCTCCCATTGCAGCATCAAGCAGCTTCTCGGCCTTTTGACGAAGATCAAGTGTAGTATGTATGCTTATCAGTTACTCCCTGGGCTAGCACCTGCCAGAAATGTTCCCCAGTTAAGATTTGTTTGTGCTGGTTACCATGACCGAATCTCATCCATAAGTAAGGGGATTATGGGAGGGATTGAGCTCCTGGCAAGCCATGCCTTCAGCCCTCTGTAGTTTGGGATCAGTATCACAGTATTTTTGATCTGAGGAGTTTGATCTACCCTCAAAAAGAGGAAGTGAATGCAGAGCTAACGTGAGCACTTGGTCACTAGGCTCAGGCCGGGCTTGCCCACCTGGAGAGGTGATCCGGTCACCTGTCCTGCACAGTTGGCCGTGAAGACAGGGTTCAGGTCCACATTGTTCTTTGATAATTTGGGGCCTAGAAGAGTTTGGGGGGATATATGGGCTTGTCTGCGGGGACAACCCTCGTTCCCTAGTGGAACCTTTTCGGTCTAATTCAATTAATGGAGGTGACCTTGCTCACCAATAAAAAAAACAAGCAAACTCTTGAATTAATTCAGTGCCCAGCACTGATGCATCCCTTCCTGGTAAACTGAATGTGTTGACGAGTTCCACAATACAGTCTTCATTCATTGAACAGAGCTGAGTGAAGTCTGGAAATACAGGATAAAAATCCCCTTTTAGATAGTTCCTAAGTGAAAGAAGTATTGACAATTTCAATCTGCATCTCTCACAGCAGAAAACTGTTCTCCCAACACAGAATTCATATTAAAGATTGGAAAAACAATGGATAATAAGTAATGTGACATATAATCAGCTGCATCCAAATATCAATTCTGATGAACAAGACACACAAAATCCTAACTGCAACTGAAAGAGTCTTGTCTGCTGCTACCAGCACAATGACTTTGTCAGACTGAATACAAGTCAACATGATATGGCAAATTCCTTGGCAAACAGTCTTCTGGAGCTTTTGAGACTTTTGACAATAAGAGTGGGCAAAGCTGATGGGTGAAGCTTTTTCTGAATATAGTCTGCTCCATTTAAAGTCTTCAAAATCAGATTAATAAATAGTCATTTATATATTTTTAAAAGACAGAAGGGCATTAGCAGGCAGTATTTTCTAAAAACGTTGATATACGGTATTTAATGATTTAAAGCTGATCACTTTGCAAGTTTACTGCATGCTGACACAATTGTAAACCATTTCAGATTATTTGGGAATCAAAATCTTTTTAGATAAAATTTCTTTCATTTGTACTTTGAAGATTCTTCCACCAATATATTTTAAACAGGCACAGATGCCTCACAGGGAATGCTGCTGAGCTAATAGAATCATTGACTTTACAGTATAGAAGAAGGTCAATTGTGTGTAATGGCATTAACTCCTCCCTTGTAGTCATTTACTGGTCTTTCCTCATGCCCTTTAATACCATTCCTGTTCTCTTGTTGATCCTCACACAATAGATCCTTACACAACAGTAATTTAAAGATAATGGCACCAAATTTCTGTCTAACAATTGCTCCCATCACAATCCTCTATCCATTTATCCCAGTCTTTCTTTATCCATTCCCATTAATTAGAAATTAAGATTTGTCAAAACTTTCTTCTATTGTTCTTACGGAGTTCCACAAGCTCTTGTTCTTCTAGCATAGTCACTTGGGTTGAAATTAAAATACAATATACTCTACTGGGTCAAGTGTCCTTCAATCTATTTTCTTCTTAAAACTTTTGGAATAGTAAAACTGCATCCGGCACCAATACAAACTGCAACCTCTCAATTTAAAAAATTTTATAACCAATATTTTTCAATTTATCTCATCTTGTCTCGTGAACTCTCAACCTCAGTTAAAGAGTCAGCTGCCATATGGAATTTGGCATTTCCCCTAGTTTTCTAAAAAAAAAAGCAGGACGGGGATTTATAATCGAGCTGAGGATAGGGAGGTATTATAGAAAGGGAGTAGGATTTTACAGATTGAATGAACAAGTGGGAGGAAATCAAACAACCTTGAACAGACAGATGTATTTAATCCATTTATATTGGACGCAGTGCATGAAGATGTTAATCTCATGATGTTTCATCATCTGTTGGATGACTATTCTGTCCACATGAATCTGATATAAAACAGAATGCTCTTTGGAATATTCGTGGTAAAAACACTTTTCTGATAAACTTCTTTTCAGGATTTAGTGCCTTTTTATGGTCACAAAACTGGGATGGCAAAAATCAGATTTACAACATGGTCAAATTTTATCTGTTGCATTTTGTCAATACCATATTGCTTTGTTCTACAAGTTCTGTATTGTAGAAGGCTTTTACTTCCTGTATATATAAAGCATTTAGACTCAGGAACTGTGGGACCAATATTGAAATTTGCTGAAAATAGCACAAGGACAAATTGCAACAAGGACTGTTAAAAAAAAGCTTTCAGGAGAGCATAGATTGATTGGTAAGTGGGCAAAGACATGGCAACTGCAGTTCAATGCAGAATCTATGAAGTAGTAAATTGTGGAATCATGAATAGAGAAGGATATCTTAAATGGTAGTATTAACATTCTAAGTGGAGTGCAGGAGCAAAGGGTGTACAGCCATGTACAGATAATTTATATCTTACTCGATGACCAATTATTCACAGGTCATTAAAAGTGCAGTGGATATAGATAAGGCCATAAAATAGCAAATTCAATCTATTTTATATCTAGAGGCATGGAATATAAGAACTAGAATGTAATGATGAAATTATTTATTCAAAACCTTAGGACACATTTGGAATAATCTGCACAGTTCTGGGCACCCCATTTATCGGAAAGCAATAAAACCAAAAGGAAAATGTGCACTAGGATGTTACAATCAATGAGACGTTTCACTTCTGAAGAAACTGCCTGATGGAGTTTAAGCCAATTTATACCTTACACGATGACCAACTGGTATTGGACCGGTCCCAATTATTATGGACAATTGGTTTCCTACTGTAGATGCTTGAAAAATATTTAAAGATACAGGACCAAACAGGAGTGATACAAGATTAAGTGTACCACAGAGACAAAAACACCAGCATAGATTTTATAAACCAAAAGGCCCTCATCTGTGGTAAATAGTTTGAATTCACTGCACATGTGCTGTGAAGATGCATTTATCTGTAATCAAACCAGAAAGGAACTAATCTGCACAATTGTTTGCATCTGAAGCTATTTGGAATCATGAAGAGAATGTATCTTGCTGTATATCTGTGCAATCCTACTTTAAGAGTTGTAAATCGAAAGTTCAAGGCAAATCAGATTTCAAATATCTGTCCCTCTTCACAATTTTGTTTTTCCACTACACAAGCAAAACAAAACTATTTAAATTATTATGAACATCATTAACACCCCTTTAACCAATCATCCCCTGTCCTCTACTCCATTTTCTTCTTTGTCTTCCTTGTCCTGCCTCCCCCCTCTCTTAGTCCTTAAAAGCCTCTCCCTCCCAACATGCGCCAGTTCTGACGAAGGGTCATGGACCTGAAATGTTGACTCACTTTCCTTTCTCCATAGATGCTGCCTGACATGCTGAGTCTTCCCAGTGACTTCTATTTTTGTTACTATTTAGATTAGTTAGATGTACAGAAAATGCTGGAAATGAACAAGAAGACAATAACATCTGAAAGAAAGGGGACTGATACTACAGGTAAGATTCTCTCTTGATTGTTATTTTCAAATAATCACCTCCCTCCCTCTTTCGGATACTTATGAAAAAGAAACACTTGCAGCTTTTCTTTTTAATTGCAGCACTTAAGTGATTTGGACTGTTTCTCAGCTATCTCTCGGTTTCACATTTCATTGAGGTTTCACACTGCATTCTTGAAGCATTCAAATTATATTCAAGATAATTTAATCAAATACACTATTACAAACAGTTCTTTGCAGACTTGTCTTTAACTGTGAATAAGATGATGATTACACCATCAAAAGTACACAGCTAATTCTAATTTACTATTTTGAATATTTGATGATTTTATCTACTTTGCAAATAAATAGAAAAATACTAAAGTTCAATTCTTTCCTTTCCTTTGCTTCTTGAAAGAATACTAGTGGGAATGTACTTATCACACACAACACTTCTAGATTTTGCTCCAAGTGACAGCATCAATTGTCACCAGCTGAGATGCTCTTTGTTTTTTTCACTTTAACGTTAAAGAGAAAGATTTATTGCAGGACTAACAAGCCCCACTTCAGCCAATGATACAGCTAGTCAAACATAGATTACAAGTTGTGTGAATTTGGGTCCAAATATAGGCCATTTTGTACCATGGACTCGCATCTATTACAAACTGAGTGAATTGAATGAAGGCTCCTCAAACAAATTTCACTTGGGACACAACTGCAGCAAGACACAAAGCCAGGATTTCCAAGCTATCAATTTGGGCTTGAATCAAACTCAAGTCTCAAAGCTAAACAGGAGAATGCACCAAGTAAAAGGTGACCTTATCATTTGTCAAGAGGCAGTTTCTAATGAAACTGAGCAGCACACCTGACGTACAAAATCATAAGGAGAAAAAAATCTTATAAGTACAATTTCTTTGACTGCTGGAAGTCATCAGTGTTTGCCTTGGATAAATTGTGAGTGACAATGCAATAAGGTTAAAATCAATGAAAAACCAGCTTTGCACTTTGCGATTAATGTGAATGAAAGCAGCCAATAAAATGCAATGTACCGGGAGTTACCGGGACCAATTCAGTGTATACTAATGTTACTCTTATATTAAGGCCATCTGAGCAATGCTTTGAGTGGTGGCATTGACGTTTGAGCATTGCTCAAAATTAGCAGCACCGTTCCGTAAGGAGCTCAACGTAGAACGCTTCAGGACTGCCATGTTGGAAAGGGCGCTGATGAAAGCTCGGCTGTCACAGGCCTTCCCTCGGACAGACCTCACAGAAGTCCTCTACGCTTGGAAGAAGGACCTCCTGCCAGGGAATAAGAACCAGCGGTTGGTGGGAGCCAGAAGCAATCGGTCAGTGAGCTTCAACTGTGGTGACTACTGAAGCCACCTCTGTGCAATGCTCTCAGGAAAGATTCGAACCCAATGAACCAGCCTACTCCAATCCCTCCAAAACGAAAAACAATAAAAATTGGTCACTTTCAATCCACGACTGTTTGTGAGACACTGCTGCCACGTTTCGCCCACAAATATACAGTCAATTCACTTTAAAGTCTATTATGTGAAGCGCTTTGAGATGTCGAGAAGATGTGAAAAGTGCTATATCAAATGCAAGGATTATTACTGTTATTCCTCATAATACAGCAACAGCCATATTCCAACAATAAGTCAGATGGGACACACGTGCTCATCACCTTGTAACCAAGCTCAGAGCCATAAAGTCATCATCCATAACAGTAACAAAACAATATTCCACAAAACTACTTATTTATATTAGTGTGAACATTAGGAGGATGGTTTATGAGCAATCAAATCACTGAGGCCGAGAGTTCAAATGTATTTAGGACTCAGTTTCATAGTGTTCATAATTCAGGCTGTCAGAATTTGAATTTCACATCAACCATTATGTGAACAGAAAACAACAACTTGGATTTATATTGCGCCCTCCACGCCGGACGGCGTCTCAGAAAAGAACCAATGAAGCCCCCAGGTACTCTAATTCCAACCGGCAATTACAATTGTACTGATTCTGAACTTTATTTGGGCCTCCTAGAGATGGCCACCCAATACTTTGAGTAACTCACTCTTAGTTACAAGGCCAAAAAAAAACAAGCTCAATGCAAATGTACTTTTTTGTAAAAAAGACATACAATTCGGATGAACTCAAGGCAACTCAGATTAGGACTTGGATTTGATATTGTGTCCTACTCTAGTCATGACGTTCAGATAAAATTCAGATTTCTCAAACTATTTACACAAGCTGTGACATTATTGGAACCGCCAGACCAAATTACCTTAGTGTACCTCTTACCTAATTATTATCATAGTGGATAGCTTGCTCACCTCGTGAGCGGAAGAACCTGGGTTGGATCCCAGGCAAGGCGAAAACTTCAGCAAGTTTCCTTATGCTTCTGTTTGCTCAGCAGTAAGTAGGAACCCAGTTGTTTGTCAATTGGCGGATCACTTTCCAGGGATAATAATCCCTCAACAATGTTTTAAAAATGTGGTCACTGAATCCTCGACCATTTCTGCCTGAGCACAATTGGCTGCCTTGTTTTGCCCACAAAAATACAGTCAATTCACTTTACAATATATTCGTGATAAGGTGATGTATCAAATGCAATGAGTATTATTAATATTATATAACTAACAAATGAAACTAGCATTTCGAGATGAATACATCACATTTTCAATTACTACTCCATTTTTCTTGCTGTTGCAATTCGCTATTGAGACAGACACAATATCTGAATTGTAAAAATATCAAAAATCAAGTGAGCAACAAATGCACATCTTTGACAGTAAATAAATAAATTGTCAGAAGTCCTGCCAAAACAGGAAAACAAACCCGCACTGATTTTTCTTTGATGCTGTCTATACTATAATCCAGAAGAAACTGAATTGCTATACAATGTTATTTGCACCTAGTATAACCCACATAAGTGATAATTGTGGTGAAGAAATATATATGAATTACAGTCAATAATGTGGAAATTCTCATAGTGACTCTCTGGCTTAGATGGTAACATCTAGGCTATCACGCTGGTACAGTGCAAGAGTGCTACCAGCTGAGCCGAGCTGATATATTTTGATGACAATTTACATGTATAGTTATGTGGGCATATTACAGGAGGCTTTTGCCATAATTGTGGCAGGAACAAAAGTTTTGCTACTGACAGTAACTTCGGCAGAATTGAGTTCCATCTTGTTTGGTAGGATCAGATCAAAAAAGAAATGAACCATAAAGCAAAACTGATTTTCTCATCCTCACAACAGAATGTTTCCAGTGGCTCTCTTGCATAATATCAAATCAAGTATTCCAGCTATCACCGTGTTAGATTTATTACTGAGGACATGACCCAATATTTCCAAATGTCAATACCAATCTGTATTTCAGGAGTGCATCTCTGCACTTGTCGCTCTGAAAGGTAAATTATAACTGTAAGTACAATTATTCTGGGTCACTTACGCAATCTACTCATTCCAGCAACTGAACAATAGTAAAGCAGACAGAATGTTTTTCCAGCAATTAAAAAAATTCAGCTAATCAGTCTTGTTTAACAATTCTATTAATATTCCAGACAAGGAAACAACTGGGGCAGAAGTGTTACTTTCCCACTTACTCCTTTACCTGACAAGATCCATCCCAAGTAGTGCTTCCGTCTCCTCAGCTGGTTGTCTGGTGATCACAGCCAAATTACCAATGCTGACTCCATGCTCATTGGCTCCCATCTCTGCCCCCCACAGCCAGGCTGGTTTGCTTAGCATAACTGCATGCGTCTTCTCTACTTGATCGATTACGATGTACGTGCACTGCCAAAAACAAGATTTAAAAAAAGATTATTCAGTAAAACTCACATAAGTCGTATTGTGGAGGCCTGTAGCTCAGTGGTTAGAGCACTCGCCTTGCAAGCAAGAGACCTCAGTTCAACTCCAGGCAGGGCGAAACCTTGGGCAAGTTTCCTTACTCCACACGCCTAATAATAATCCCTCCAAAAACAAAACAATAATAAATTGGTCATTTTCAATCCACGGCTGTTTGTGAGACACTGCTGTGTGCAATTGGCTGCCACGTTTTGCCCACAAATATAGTCAATTCGCTTTACAGTATATTCTGTGAAGCACTTTGAGACGTCTAGAAGACGTGAAAAGCGCGATATCAAATGCAAGGACTATTATTATCATCATCATCATCAGTTGGGACTATAACATTTGATATGACTTACCTGAAGCCTGAATTGCAGGCAAACTATAGAAATGTTAGAAAATCTGACTTAATCAATCTACCCTGCGAATGTGAATTTATTGCAGACGGTAAGTGTCCATTGCAGAAATTAGTCATTGTAGCCGGTAAGTGCACATGTGGTGATGGGTTAAGACTAACATTTCCTGCAACTCAATGCGTCTTCACTCAGCATGGCATGCACACTCTCTGGCAAATGTTGGAATCGCACTGAATCACGGGAAATAAAGTTCTGTGCATGCATCGTTGGATCAAGACTACGATTTCAGTGATTCAATGCAGCCGGCCAGTAAGTGAGCATTTGTCGACAGGCAAGGACATAAATTCTCATGATTCAAGGCCTCCGGTAAACATGGGAGTAATGTAGGTTTGGGGAGCGACTTTACAAGTTAGGAGGTGAGTAATACAACAGCAACAACTTGCATTTGTATCATGCCCCTCATGCAGGGTAGCATCCCAGAGCATTTGCGCACCATGAGTAGTGTAAAGAAATCAAAGTGGTTTTGATAGGAAATTGGATGGGACTCGGGTGAATATACGACTTTGGCATTTACAGCATTCAAATAATTTCTGGAGTGCGACTTTTATGGTGGTCACTAAACGTTTTTGTGTGCAATGATTAGACGTATTCAGAAACTATGCGCTGAATGAAATAAAATATAGCCTTACCTCTCGCCAAGAATGTTTTACCTATTGTTCCTTCATATTGTAATGTACTGTTGTTGAATAAAACAACACATCACCTTCACAAAAGGTGGAAATCCTGTGGACCAGTCTTAGACATTGAGTACAAAACTGAAGATCACATAAATCTCTTCTATTTAAAATGCGGCATTGACAATGTACTTGATGTAAATCCTTTTGGCAGGAATGTAATTGTGCTTTTTTTTAAATTTGACAGGTCTGACAGTTCGGGGTTATTTGGGTAATTGAACAGTAGCAAAGTAGTTAAGCTGTTATACTGAAAGGCATTTGGATCCTGAAAAACGACTCATCTCCCTCTACTTTTATTAATAAAAAGGCAAAGAATTTTTCATTAATCCCGACTTTCATTTCTAATTGGAATGCATGGTTGTTCATTGGATTTCCATGCTTCATTTATGAAATATTATATTTAGATCAAAATTTATTAACATGCAAGGCCTGTATCTGCAACTGAAGGGAATGAGAATGACTGACTGAAATTTCTACCCTATCACATATGGCTTGTGTCATGGTATCTTAAAAACAAATAAAAATAATTTGGTCACTCAATCCACGAATGTTTGTGGGTCACTGCTGTGTGCAATTGGCTGCTGCGTTTCATCCACAAAATAATCAATTCACTTTACTGTATATTCTGTGAAACGCTTTGAGACATCTCGAAGATGTGATAAGGCACTATATAAATATAAGGATTATTATTATTATCCTGTTGATATTCGACAGCCTCCAACAGCTACATGTATGAAGACCTTCACAGAAATACTACCTTATTTCTAGATACAGTCAGACCCCCATTATAACACTGTCTATGATTCCATAAAAATAAAATCAGTCCCTGCATTTTAACAGACTATTATAAAGTGGCCTCCAGTCAGTACCTCTAGGTCAGCAAGTCACCAATGAACTACTGGGTGCACTATTAACTGTTCTCAAAGGCATTTTCTGCAGTTGCCGGAGTTGCAGAGAGGCTTTCTGTGTCTGACACTTTAATACAATACTGCAATACAATAATTATCTCAAGCTATGATATAATGACAGAAATACACTGCATTGAACCTAAAGCCTTGAAATAAAGGTTTTAATAAATTTTAAAAATCCAGAAATGTTCAGGTCTGATGTGACACAGGTTATCTGTAGTATAAATAATTTACTCTCCACTAGCAAGTTAATCCCAGCATCATCACTCTTACTGCACCAGTGGGACATATCTATTGTCCATGTTCCGGTGGCTTGGCAGTGAAAGATTATTCTGTGTCAATTACAGTAGTGCCTAATTATTGGGTCTTTTTGTGCTGACTGATCCAGTCCACTATTTAAACATGTCATTGGGGATCCTTACAGCAGAGAGAGAGACTTTCATCCCATCAGTCAGTGCTAGATACAAGCCCAAGCCCCAAAACTGAACTGAATGCATTTTGAACGCACTGCACCACCCACTTGCTCCTTCAAATTATTAATCAGATGGAGCAGATCAGGCAATTCCAATGCAACACTTACAGCTCAATGTATTACCTTTTATAGATTCAAGTCATATTCACAAAACTAGTTTGTGTGAAATGACAAAATGTATCACTTTATCACTTACAAATTCAATTCAACGAATTAATCACTTGCAAATTCATTCAGAAACCATCTTCAATGTTAGATCTGAGCTCAAACAATTCAGCAAATATTTTGTTCGTTAATGATTTAGAATACATTTAGAGGCACTTTGGCTCTAGTTTTGGCAGTGTGTGGCCGCTCCCAGTGCCTAATGAATTAATAGCACAGCTGACATGCTTTACATGCACCAGCCCTTGAGAAAAAAAATTGTTCAGTAATGTCACAACATGGCACAGTGTATGAGACTGGAGCCACTGTTCTTGGTGAGACCATTCTACAGCATCTAATGACAGGTGCAATTCTGCCTCCTTTCTGCTTGCAGAAATGTTCTCATTCCAGGCCTGAAATTCCACCGAGTCTTAGCCTAATTCTTTTGTGTTCAAATTTTAAATTGTACAAAACTGTGGAAAAACCCTTGGATTCATTCTTCATGTCGAACTTGATTTTCTGCAGTTAAGTTCCAAATTAGGACTGAATTTTAGAATTTTCCACGATTCTGCATTTTAAATTTTGAAGACAAAATAGTCTTGCAGGATAATACTCTAGGGTGGAATTTTGTGCTGTCACACACATCTCCTAGCAGCCTGCAGTGGAATGCCATTGACAAAAGCCTGAGGCCCGTCTGCTTTCTTGGCTGGAGAGCTATGTGTCTCTAGGTTCCGAGGGAATTAGGCATCCTGAAAAATGAAGACAGCGTAAAATGAAAATAAATCACACTATTCTTTGGAAAGTATACGCAACAGGAAGTAAAACTGAAATGATATTAAAGAAACATGACAAAATGTCAAAAAAGTCAGTTTCAAAAGCATAACAATGTTTGTGCAGCATTGCGCAATGCAGAAAGCATTTCTTTCACATCTTAAATGAATGCAATTCTGTGTTGTGGAGATAATTGGAGCTCATTACTGAAATCAACTTTAGATTGAACCAACTGTTGCTATGAATATGTGATTTAGACCTTGCCGCATTCAATTTATTATTGAGCACTGAACAGCTCTCTCCGCACACGAAAGAAGATACTGTGGTCACTTAGTAAGTTGCTTTCACCTATTTTATTTAAGAAGCTGTAGTCCCACATGGGTTCCTAAATTATGCATGTAGTGAGCTAACATACTAAAGGCTGTTACCATCTGCAGCCTGTGAACTGTCCTGCATAACCTCATCTTTGTCCAGCAGAACCCTTCTGTGTCACTGGCACTCTGCATCAAACAAATCATAGCACAACATGCACTTCATTAATCATTACATAAAAACAGCAAAACCATGTTAGATGTGGCTGTGTTTAACAGAAACAGCCCTAGTCAAAGTGACAAATGACATTCTGTCCATCTGCGACCAGGGCTTCCTCTGTCTCCTCCTTGACCTTTCTGCTTTCTGACCTTCGACACTGTTGACCACTCTATCCCCATCCAACGCCTCTCCTCTCACCTCAACCTTCAAGGCTCTGTTCTTGACTGGTTCAGATCGTACCTCTCGCACCACCTCCACTTCATCTCCTCAAACGACTTCTCCTCCAGCCCCCGGACCGTCTCGTGTGGCATTCCTCAGGGCTCTGTGCTTGGTCCCCTCCTCTTCAATATCTATATGCTCCCTCTTGGTGGCATCATCTGCAGACATGGGGTCAACTTCCACATGTATGCGGATGACACCCAACTCTACCTCTTTGCCTCCACCCTTGACTCCAGGACCACTGCTGTCCTGACAGAATGTCTGTCAGACATCAAGTCCTGGATGAGAACTAACTTTCTACAGTTGAATGTCAACAAGACCGAGGCTCTCCTGATTGGCTCCGTCAGTGCCTCCTCACCTCAGGTGCTGACAGCATCAACATCCATAATAATAATAATAATAATAATCCTTGCATTTGGTATAGTGCTTTTCAAGTCGGGAGGTCGTCCCAAAGCGCTTCACACAACACACTGTAAAGTGAATTGACTGTATATTTGTGGGCGAATGCGGCAGCCAATTGCGCACAGCAATGTCCCACAAACAGTCGTAGATTGAAAATGACCAATTTATTATTGTTTTGTTCTTTGGAGGGATTATTATTAGCACACTCCACCTTACTAAGCCAGTCCGGAACCTTGGGGTCTTGTTTGACCGTCAACTATCCTTTCTACCCCACATCTGCGCTAAGACCCATTCTGCCTTCCCCCACCTCCACAACATCGCCCGGCTCAGCCACTGTCTCACACCACAGGCTCCTGAAACCCTCATAAACGCATTCATTACATCAGAGTTTAACAATGCAAACTCATTGCTTGTCGGCCTCCCCAATTCCTCCCTCCATAGGCTGCAGATCATCCAGAACTTTGCAGCCCGTGTCCTCTCCCGCACTAGGCTCAGTGACCCTATCACCCCCATCCTCGTCCGACTCCACTGGCTTCCCATCACACAGAGGATACAGTTCAAGATCCTGGTCTTCACCTACAAAGCTCTCCAGTGGTCTTGCTCCCACCTACCTCTGCAACCTCCTAACCCCCTACCATCCTGCTCGCTCCTTCAACTCAGTGGGCTCCGACCTGCTTTATATCCCCCGCCTCGCTCGCCCCACTTTTGGTGGGTGGGCCTTCTGCCACTCTGCCCCCTCCCTCTGGAACTCCATCCTGTAGTCCCTCCGCCTCACCCCCTCCCTTGCCTCCTTGAGGTGAAAGCTGATGACTATTCCTGATGATCACTGTACACCAAAAGGCAAAGACAGCTGCCCTCCCCCTCGCTGGAGTCAGCCCCCAAAGGGGCACTGACTGGCAGCGGCCGTACAAGATCACAAGAGAGGTATGGATGAAGAAGTCTCTTCACCTATTTCATCTTATTCCAGAATACCTACCCTACCCTCTTCTCATTACACCTTTAAGCAGGTTTTTAAAATAAGTCCAGCGCCAACACCTTTACCATTACTGACAACTCATTCCAGTTAACTGTTCTCAGTATGAAGATTTACTGTGTTTTATAATGTCAGTCTTCAAATTGTGGCATCTTGCTCCGTTGCTTTGTTTTATCAGAAAATATTGCTCTAGGTTTACTTTCTCATTTCCATTTATCACCTTATAGAACTCGTAAGTTATAGAACAATGCCATTATTGTAACTACAATATTGGGAATCTCTTATTACTCCTCACTGCACTGCCTGAGCAGCCGGATCTGCAAACAATACTCTGTGACATCAGATTTTAGGCCTTAATCCAACATAAAGCACATGGGAGCATTTAAGCTTTTTGAACCAAGCTGCTTGTAGGAATCATCAATGAATATTTGAAGAGGAACAAAATAAAGATATGGAAAAGCCAGTAATTGGAATTAGAGTAGATCACACTAGTGGGTAAGATGGCACTTGCTAACAGAGAAGGAAATCAGACAGCACTCACACACATCTCCTGCCCCCAGGAACATTAAATTGAGGGTTTAAGCATGATCAGTTTTAGAGGCATTTAAGTGACTTAATAGTGTAAGAAAATTTTGATCTTTTTTATGGTCAGAATATTAAGAACCTAGGTAGTGGACATACATTTAATGCAATCACCTAAATAATAAATTATCGTTATACTGCCTTTTAGATGTAAAATATGAAAAGAAGAGTCTCCAGAGTATTAAATGAATTAAGTGATTTGCACAAACAGGATAGGCAGTTATGTCTCCAGTTGTCAATCCCGTTTTAAGAATACTTAAATCACCAACTTCCTTATTGGAACCAAAGATCTTTCAGAAAATAACCAAGCAGCACACAGCTCAAATA